TAATTAAATTATTAATAATTCATAATCCGTAGGAAATTTCATTGACTTGTTTTTTCAGTAAAATGTCGTTCACTTTACGGCAACATCTATAAAGACTGTGAAAAATCATGGTTGCCGTTGCGCACCTGGCCGCACCTCTTCGCAGCCAGGTGTACACAGGTATGATTTTATTACATTTATACACCCACAACGTACATTCATAATTTACATATATATCAAATTAAAGCTAATTTTTTTCTGTTTATTATCATATACGGTTGCCTAATTAAATCTGGCCGCGAATAAGGGTTGCTGGCTATTAAATATAGTAAATATTAAAAGTAGAGTGAAAGAGAGCTAGCGCGTAACACCACTAGTCAAACGAGGATAGCGATTGCCAGCTGTCGGACAGTTTAAAGCCATTGCGCATGCGTCAGATGCTAGTGTTCTCAATGGATCAGTTGCGACTTTTATTCTAAGTTAAAAACCACGCTGTTTTGGAGTACGTAATACACAACATAATATATTGCTGTTTCATTTGTGCATCGAAAAATTATCAATCTCATCAGTGCGAAATAAAATTTATAAAGATGAAGCCGTGTTTTCTGTGCGACAAAAAATGCAATGTACTAGACTTTGATAATGCTTCATTTAAAAAGTGTCCTCTAATGTTATTGTTTCGTCGTAAGAAAAAATTTAATTTTTTATTTTGAAAAGAAAGACGTTTCTTTTGGAGTATTTATTATTTTGAGGCGTACCTACTATTGTTTGAATCGGAGGTTGAGAACAGTAGCATTTGACGCATGCGCAATGGTTTTAAACTGTCCGACAGCTGGCAATCGCTATCCTCGTTTGACTAGTGGTGTTACGCGCTAGCTCTCTTTCACTCTACTTTTAATATTTACTATATTTAATAGCCAGCAACCCTTATTTGCGGCCAGATTTAATTAGGCAACCGTATATGATAATAAACAGAAAAAAATTAGCTTTAATTTGATATATAAATTATGAATGTACGTTGTGGGTGTATAAATGTAATAAAATCATACCTGTGTACACCTGGCTGCGAAGAGGTGCGGCCAGGTGCGCAACGGCAACCATGATTTTTCACAGTCTTTATAGATGTTGCCGTAAAGTGAACGACATTTTACTGAAAAAAACAAGTCAATGAAATTTCTTACGGATTATGAATTATTAATAATTTAATTAAAAATACTAGCGGCCAAATTTTGATAGGCAACCTGGTAGATATAAATTCTCCTAATGATAAATATGTGTAAAAATTTGGTTTTCAGCAAACACTCGATGAGTACACTGATTCTGCAGCGGGATCTCGGACTATGAATGAATGGAATTGCTTCGATTGTCTAGTCTAGTGAATAGTTAGTGTGCCGAACTGCCGATATCGGGTACCGGGTTCGAATTTTAGCCGTTCTTTATACATACCAACGAGTTTTCGATGATTATGTTCCTATAGTATCTACCTATACTGAATATCGGGTATTTTAAACAAAAAGAAAAATATCGCGAGGAAACTTTTAATACTGTCCTATTTTCAATACATCATGTAGTTGAAACTATAGATGTATAATATATAACATAGTATAGTTAGGTAATGAAAATAAAAAACATCGCTTATTACAAAATTAGTCTTTATTCATCATCAGATAAAAAAATCATCACAATCGCTTTCGGTGACATTAATTATAAATCTGTCTGAAAAATTGTCAATAATTTATCTTTGAAACTGTGTTTCGGTCCACATTTCTCCGGAGACTTAAATTTCATTTCATTTTCAATTCATTTTCTTTGTATTCTTTTAATACATTGTAGACTGAGGTCACACCAATTCCCAAAATGCCTGCTGTTTTTGAAATACATTCTTTTTTTTTCGGGAGCCTCAATAGGTAATAGTGAAGCAGCTTTCTCCTCAAATACATGTTTGTACACGTTTTGTATCATAAGGTTTTCGGTAACGCTTAAAGCAATCCGTGGTTTCTTCTCTCTTGGAGACAAGCTATGGCTTGACGTGCTTGGTTGAGGATCCATATTGTTTGTTGAAAACAATATAGCAACAAATAAACACAACAATTACTACAAACACAACGTAAGGAAAAACTTAACAAAACAGAGCGCAAAAAAAACATTCGTGCTCTCAGACCAGAGGTTAGAAGACGAATTACGAACAAAATGGCGGCAGACGCGCGCGACATTGATCGATGTTGGCACGGCTTAATACAAAGCGCGCGGCTACAAGAGCCGCGCGCTTTGTATTAAGCCGTCAAAAAACTGATTGTAGTTACATACCACTAGTAACTTATATCAAAACACTTTTATACAATTTTATTGTAAAATAGAAATAATATTATTTTGTAGTTTAAAATGATTAACTATTCACACTCATTATTCATTCATCTGACCGAGAACTGAACGCATCACTATTACTTTAAATATGGCAACATTATTTTACAAAGTGACATTAGCTACTGTCAGTTAGCTTTGTCTAATTAAAAATACGACTATACATATAAACTTTTATCAAAATCGGTCAAGCGGATTCGGAGGAGTTTAAACACGAAACCTGTGACCCGATAATTTCATATATTAGATTACATAGGCTAATTATTTTACAAATAAGATACATCCTATAAATAGTTTAATAGGCTATTTGCAGTGTTTCACTACAAAGAGCTTGTCAAAATATTACAAGAAAATAATATATCTTTTCTAAGTAATAAAATCTATGCTGTATATACAGGTGCAAAACATATTGACTTCAACAAATGGCATCAAAATCTGTATTGAATTAGAAAAAATCACTTTGTTAATAAGTGGCCTTTTCTAATTAACACAGAAAACAAGCATTATATTTCTAGAATATTTACTTTGATAATAGTCTGAGCAGAAATGTAGATAATAATATCCCATTTGTATACATTAACTTGTGTTAAAGAACTTCATAATGAACTTGAACCACGTATGCATACATGCACTTATATGTTTAGGAGCCAACGGAATATCCGTACAACTGGTTTATCTGTAACTTTATGCTGAGTTGGTTGCCTATTTACCTTTGCGACACATAAAACTACCTACATTTCTTTTATTTGTATATTTATTTTATTATTACATGTGTACATTTTAGGTTGTGTTTGTAATTGGTCAATCCCATCAAAAACATAAATGTGAAATGATAGCCGAGTTTAATATTATGATATATGCCTTGATTGTTGACTTCTACGACAAAAGAGATGAGATCTAAATGGGTGCCAAGTTCAATGGTCTGTCCTGAAATGTATTTATAACAATATAAAATATCATTTCTTCTTATAACTTAGGATAATATACCGTAGCCTAAGGTCTAACTTGGCCAGTTCTCATATACCAATTATTACTTTCGATTGCTAGTTACTACTAATAATAAAATAGGAACCGACAAGTAACATGTTTAGAACTTGCGAAGGCTACAGTATATTTCGTATATGAAAACTAGCCAAGTTAGACCTTAGGCTACAGTATATTATACTAAGTTATAAGAAGAAATGATATTTTATATTGTTATAAATACATTTCAGGACAGACCATTGAACTTGTCAACAATCAAGGCATATATCATAATATTAAACTCGGCTATCATTTCACATTTATGTTTTTGATGGGATATCATTACTTTTTGTACATAAATTATACGAGGTACTTATTTATAACTAAATTAATACCAATTATTTTTGATAAATTCCTGTATTTTCATATATTTACGGGGTATAATTGTCTTTTTTTTGTGTTATTTTCTATATTTTCTTGTAACTTTTAAATGTTCAAGTGCAATGCCAATTCAGTATCAGGAATTTTTGGGCAAATCGGGGCGGTATAACATCCACAGATGGTTGTACTCTACAATAGAGCTCTCGTGACTTGGATCTAAATTGTTAAGACGTACTCCATCTAAGGTTTTAACTCTGGAGATTCCAACGTAAGCCTGCCCTTTATTAAATATAGAGGAGCCTATGTTGAGAAGAGGACTGCCAAAACTAAGGCCTTGTGATTTGTGGATAGTAATAGCATATGTTAAGCAAATACGGAATTGTTCTCTGTCAACATATACATTATTTAATATCTGAAACTTGGTATTGACACGTTATAGTTCGTAAAGACAATTATGTAACAAATTGACTGTTATCTATTGAATTCTCAAGAAAACAATTTGTTACCAATGAGTTCTCATTCTCGAGTTAACTATACATTCCTACTTATAACTATACTAAAATTGTTATTAATTTTTGGTTTAAACTATTGTCTATACCATACGTATTTACTAAAATAATGTAATAATAATATAATCACAAATATATAAGTATAATTTAAGAAAACTATGAATTTCGTAGCATAAATCGCAACCTTATAGGTTAGATATCGAGAAACAAAACATTGAGACATGAGGGCGGCTCCCATTCGCTCGGACAGGTTCTCGTCAACATTTTATCGCACCGCTCCCACACGGCGCCGCGGCGCCCTATACCGAAATGCCTATTATTTAATAATTATTTATAAAAATAATGATCTTACACTATCGATGTGCGCTAAATATTGAAACAATAATTAATACCAAATCTCAGTTAATAACATAATAAATATGAAATTCGACTATACTCCTAGTTATAAGTACGAGTATATTTTAGACAGAATCTAAATTATAGCAACTAGTGTTTACCGCTCAATGCGATATTTGAAGTTTGCTAGTTATCGACACTGATGTAAAGGGGTCTACGTAAATTGGTAATGATCGACGTTTTCATACAATATTACTTTAGTCCAGTACAAGATGAGCTATTTTGCCAGGGATCAATGTCAATTGGTGGCTATCGACGTTTTCATAGAATTTTAGTATTCGTCCAGTATAAGTTGAAATAAAATCAATTAAAGTGAAAAATTATAGTAAAATGATAACAATTTACCAGTTTCAGTTTTCTTCCATGTTTTTTTTTTCATATTGATGTAACAGAATATTTTATTTTTGTTAGGAAAGTGCAAGCTCAACGGAAATTTGCACAGGGCGCATATATGCCACCCCTACACCAAACAAATCACATTGTAGAACGTCGTGCGGATATGGTAGGTGGTAAAGATGACCAAAGATCATCTACCACTTACAATAGTATTTCGGCAAATTCGTTACTGGATCTGGTGTCATTTGCAAGTGAGTATTGTAATAATACTGAGGATAGATTCGAAATCAGCGCACCCAAATTAAATTACATCAGTAGAAAACCTCATGCAACAAAAAAGAAGGTAAATTTTGTTGTCCTGTGTTATAATCAATATATTATAATAACACAAAAAGGTGACATTGTCACTTTTTATAAAATATATGCAAATATTTTTGTAAAATTTATATTTTGACATACACAGATGTGTACTACAAATATAATATTGATATTACAAACTTAAATATATTTTGCTTTTATTGTACAAATGTGTAGCATAATTGTCTAACGTTTAATCTATCAATTATATACAGATATACATACCCATCAAAGGTTGCAACCAGTGGTTCGTTTGGAGAGGTTAAAAACCAATGAACATACCATAACAGAACTGCTGCAGAGAAGATCATCACCAATAGAGGGACTACTAATACCTAGGCGTATTAAACGTCTCAATAAACCAAAACAAATTAAATCTAAAGCAGAAAAATGGCCTGTAAATGGCAATACGACTGTACGTAAATCAAAAGCAAAAAGAGTACAGGCAAAAGAGAAGATAAAGGTGCCTCGAAGGAAGAGAAGGCGACATACAGACTCAAAAGATCAAGATGAAGATAATACACCTCTTAAATTTTTAGCAACATCTTCTAAAAATAAGCAAGGTGCAGGAGGCAAAAGACGCAAGTCAGGAGGTAAGATAATAATAATTTTGTCTGTTTAGAATATATATCGACTATAGTCTATTTTTTCATTTCGGAGTCATATTTGACTTTTTAAATAGTGTTGTCTATTGGAAATTAATATGAGTTAATTGAACGAATTATCGAAATTTATATATTCTCAGGAATAATGCGTGGGGTTTATTTAAAACGCATTAACAGGAATTTAATGAAGTATGTTTTGCCAGTCAATGTTAAAGGGTCATTTAAAAACCCTACCTGTTTTTATTTATTCGTATGATATGAAAACATAGAATAATAAATTATCTCAGGTTTTTAGGTTTAGGTCACATGCTTCCTACGATCCTTGAAATGTTGTAACACCCTTGCATGGTTCTAGTTAAAATCTTATTTTGTAACATATATGTATCAACATGACACAATAAAACAATTTGAACTTGATAAAACTTATTTGAGAGTACTTAGTATTTGTAAAAATATTTCAAAATTTGAATATTTATTCCTACGCCTAACTCACTTGGGCGTAAGAACCTTTACCTTTATTTCGCTAGTATAGAAATCTAAACAATTATGACCATCACATACATTGTTTATGTGATACAAAGTTAACGTTACATAACGTTTCAAATATGATATGTTACAGCAGCAGAACCTTCAAGAAAGCAAACTCGAAAAGCGCCTGCCGCTAAGACTTTACACAGGAGAAAAAAGCAATATACAGGTAACAACTGTTATATACTTTATTTTCTATATACAGGGTGTAAGGGACAGGTTGGCCACAACGTCAACAGCTGATTCAGATGAATGGTCTGGATCAGATGGCAGATTATTTTCCCTCCGGAAATGCACCACAGCCATATAATTAACGATTCTTAGTTTTGACGCAATGTATTGCGCGCACTGTAATTTTACGACGCGGAGTATCCAGTGCAGTGACGTCTGAACATAGGTACATGTACATTACAAACATTATTAATACATGAATTACAGTAGGTATTCTGTTCGGGTACTAATCATCTAACAGTACATAACATAGCACAGCGAAGCGCCGGGAATAAAGTATTGCACTTTATGAATATAGTACGGTCGCTGCCACTTTATGCACAGTCCAGTACAAACTCCACGGTTTGTCCATATTCAAGAGCAGTAAATAATCCATTGAGTGCTGGATGACATTTAACATCATTATTACACATTATTAATAATAATGAAAAATTCACAAATAAGAATACACAACAAAACAAAACAAAAACAGTAAATATCTAATCTCACTTCAATACAAAATCATAAAAGTTTTATATAGTGCGGCCAAATTCATCCGATAGCATGGAAGTACAAAATCGAACTAACTAGGCCCTATGCTATACCCATCCGTGGCTTCTATGACCATGTAATACAGAGCTTCTCAAATTTATTTTATTTACAGACAACTTTAAATACCATTTACATTACCACTTACATTTTTAAAGATTCTCCAAATATATGATATGTATTAACACGGAAAATTGTAAATATTATTAGCACAAACTATATTTAAATTAAAACCAATTTGTAACATGTATACGGTATCTCTTTTTAGTTAGTACCTTGCCACACTATAATACATACTTTGCCGCACTATCAAACTTTTTTGATTTTGTTTTGAAGTGATATAATATAATATAATAGGTATTTACTGTTTTTGTTTTGTTTTTTTTTGTGTGTTCGTATTTGAGAATTTATTATTAATAATGGAACATCAGCCAGCACGTAATAGATTAATTACTGCTCGCGAATATAGACAAATGCTTATGTGCCTAGATGAAGTTGTTAAGACGAAACCGTAGAGTTCCTACGTCTCACTGAACTGTGCATAGAGCGCTACGAAAAGACCGGCAACAGCCGTACCATATTCATAAAGCAAGTATTGGTTCCCAGCGATTCGCTCCCCGTGTTATGTATGTACTGTTAGATGATTAATACTCGATCAGAATGCCTACTTTATTTAACGTATTAATATTTCGCAAAGTACTAAGAGTACATTGCGAATCGCTATTTTTACACCCTGTATATACTATGTGAATGGATTTGTGTTAAAACTAACTAAACATGCTTGTATGTTTACTACTCAAGGATATTGAGTAGTATTCATGTAACCATCGTTGCAAATTTTTAAATATGTAATAAATAAATTCTAATAGCGGGAACAACTGAACATCGCTATTGAGTGGTGGACGTTGAATGACTAGAATTATAATGATACGAAATTCGCATCAGAGTTTTTACATTCTATATTATTGTTTTTAGGACATAAACCAATAACAAGAAACGCTGCCAAATTATCAAAAAGTAAGTCAACTAACCATATTTACAAACGTAATATGTACATTGTTTAGTCACAAACAGAATATTAATTTGCTTGAAACTAATCAAAGTCTGATTACAATGTAGAAATCTGCCTAAAATATTACTATATTTTAACCTTTGATTTCAGTGAAGTCTAGTGGAAATAATAATGAAGCTTCTCCTGTATTATCTTGCAAAAAAATCATTAAGCGACCTGGGAAGAAGAAACCAGAATTCAACTCGCTATCGCTAACTTCGAAATCGCCGGCTAACTCGCCCTTAAATATCAAACCCGAAAATATTAATATAACAGGGCTAACGGCGAATTGCACAGATTGGGAAGAGTTCGCCCGTTTGAATTCCCATATTCCTGTAGATGTTACTGCAGATGTTACTGCAGATGTTACTGCAGATCCTACTGCAGATTCATTATCCATGGAACATCCATCTCTCCATGAAGAATATATTATTAAAGATAGCTCATCAAAATTAGGCTCTATTATTGAGCAGTCTATTCAGTCAATTAAAACTATTGAAATACCTACGACTTCTACTGAAAATGGTTCCGTCTTAGTAGAAGCAAATATTTGCACACCTGTATCACCTTGCCGCAGTTCACAAAGTGGATATTATGGCGCGAGTGAGATACAGCAATGGATTAATAATTCCATGCAGAACGTGGACGATGATATCTTTAAAATCCCCGCTGTACCTGACCCAATTAGCGATTTTTCTATAGACGAGACGAAAAATGAAATTGACGACTCTTCATATATGTCGCCACTGGTTTACTGTGATTCCGAATGTCCTTCGATGCGGTACTTCACAGTGAAGGATATTATGAACAGACCTATTATCAACTTGGGAACACGTTGCAACTCATGCGTATACTGCAATCGTGTGGATAAAATGCAACAATCGTCACAACAACCGCCATCTACGGACGTCAACAATTTTACACCAAGTTACGAGTTTGAACCGATTGACCTTGTCAACGAGGATGACGATACCCAACAAAAGCCGTATCCCGACGACTTCCTACAGAGCTGCCTAGCTTCCGAACAGCAAGAGGCACCTAGAAATGAGTCACCTAGCCATGAGTCACCTAGAAATGACTCACCTAGTTATGAGTCACCTAGAAATGAGTCACCTAGCTATGAATCACCTAGGAGTGAGTCACCTAGCAATGAATCACCTAGCAATGAGTTACCTAGCAATGAGTTACCCAGCAATGAGTCACCTAACAATGAGTCACCTAGCAATGAGTTACCTTGCAATGAGTCATCTAAGATTGAGTCACCTAGCAATGAGTTACTTTGCAATGAGTCACCTAAGATTGAGTCACCTAGCAATGAGTTACCTTGCAATGAGTCACCTAGCAATGAGTCACCTAGCAGTGAGTTACCTAGCAATGAGTTACCTTGCAATGAGTTACCTTGCAATGAGTCACCTTGCAATGAGTCACCTAGCAATGAGTCAACTAGCAATGAGTCACCTTGCAATGAGTCACCTAACAATGAATCACCTTGCAATGAGTCACCTTGCAATGAGTCACCTAACAATGAGTCACCTAGCAATGAGTTACCCTGCAATGAATTACCCTGCAATGAGTCACCTAGCAATGAGTCACCTAACAATGAGTCACCTTGCAATGAGTCACCTAACAATGAGTCACCTAACAATGAGTCACCTAGCAATGAGTCGCCTAGCAATGCGTCACCTAGCAATAAGTCGCCTAGCAATGCGTCGCCTAGCAATGCGTCACCTAGCAATGAATCACCTACCGAAGAGTTACCTACCAATGAGTCATCCAAAATCAAAGAGAAATTTTTCTTCTTGGATTTGTTCCCTGGCATTAGCAATGATATTATTAAATTTGTGTCAACAGAAAGCCCACTGGAAGAAACGAGAAATATAATGCGGGCTTTACTAATATCCAAGGCTTTAATTTCACGTAAGGACAAAGATAGGTTGGTTGAACACAAAACTCTTTTAAGTCAGCTGTTGGCCACACTCAATATGAAGTTACAACGCAAAACTGGTCGAACACCTGTTCCATTTCCTGAAACATCTCCAGATGAAACTAGTGCTTGTGAAGGTGGAAAGGAGGATGAAGAAGGATCACCTGATTCTGTACCATCTACATCTCTTACTAAAAATAAAAAAAAGAGATATATTCGTAAAAAGAATTCAAATAGTCAGCCATCCACTAGTAAAATGGCAACTCGGGCTACTAAAGCTAAATTAACTAAAAATGAAAAGACATTTGAAGACAAAGCGCTCCCCAAAAAGTCAAACGCACAGACGTCTAAGAAGAAAAAATCTAACATTCAAAATAATGAGAAATTGGGAGAGCTAATGGACGCGCCTGTTTATTATCCTAACGAAGAAGAATTTAAGGTAAGAATTTAATATAGGTACTCAAATGCTATATGGAGCTATAATAGCTCAAAAGCAACAAAATGAGAGGAAAAGTAGTTGGGTTCAAACCCATGGAAAGATTTCTGGAGTGGTTGAAAACCAACAGCAATCTCGTCTCATCGTAACATGATAGGAGACTGATCGTAATATTTTTTGTATATAAATTATAAACCTATTTTTTTTATCTTTTGATTAATGTTAATTATGTGTCAGCAATTTCTGTTTCTTCCGATTCAGTAAAAAAATATTCTAATTATTTCTTGTTATATTTATGTTTCATTACATTTGATTGGTCGATATGAACATGTTTTATTATGTAAAAGATAAATTATAGTACATATTAAATAAATGTTGGGTGGGCCTAAAAACTTTGTATCGTTTATTATTTTTATCTATACGACTTGGAATATAAATAAACAGCATCCTTCTACCTCGGATGTTGCTGTAAACAGTATCTACAGTTACTTTTTACTTATCTAATTGTCAGAGTCGCAACCTTTAACCAATCAAACTTTATTTGCGATAGGACCCTCTAGCATATATTACGAAGATTATGCCGACTGCTTCGAAATTTGGTATTTGTAAAGTCGTGGCACCGAAGAATTTCCAGCCGCCGTGCTCTGTGAAAAATGAGATTAGATTCAATGTCAGTAACCAGTATCTGGCTCGTCTGTACAAACGCTGGGGACCTATTACCAAAGAGATATGTGCCATTAAAACATACCTGATATCACAAAGTGTTTTGTTTAATAAGGGTCCTTTGGTGAGTAGATCAATTGTATTTAATTTGCTATTGATATATCATCTGTAAAAAATAATTAAAACGCTTAAATATTTTACATTACTTTTAATATATGTATTTACATTTGTTTGTAATTTTAATTAAATTCAATTTATAATTTTTTTCCTTTTCGGAAAGGGTGTACACTAAACTTTGAAATGCCTTAGATTGCAAACGATGAAATATACTAATTCTAACAAAAAATATAACACAGGTGGCCAATCTGGAAGTCAGTCTACCAAAACTGTATCACGTCGTTCAAAAACACGGCGGTTTGAAGACGGTAATGGAGAAAAAGCGTTGGGGTCGAGTTGCCGACGATCTTCGCAATGGTAGAACGTGCAACCCCGAAAAATTGGACATACTTTACTTAAGATATTTGCTCCCTTATGATACTCTGTCTAACAGTAAGTACAAGACGACAATACATACTCTAATAACTATAATTATTAATTTGTACTGTAAATAATGCTTAACACTTATTGAACAGTGCAAACTTTTACGGTCTTATTACAAAAAATCTGTTAAACCTCGGACGAAACGTGGTTTAATATGGTCGCGGTTTAAACCATTCCTAAAGCCTTGGAATTGGAATAAGCCTAACATTATTACGAATCCAGATCTAGAGGACTACTTAGTACTACAGTTAAATCGTTCTTTATGTATTTCTTGCAGAAATCTGTCACTCATGTCTGTTAGCGTACAATTGCGTTCCGTTTTACCAGAAAACTGAAATGATAAAAAATAATATTACTTCTAAGAAAAATGTATAAACTAACAATAATTTTATTTGTATTTGTCTATGTTTTTATTATAACTATTTAATTAATATATAATATTTATTAACGTACTATAAGGCTGAAAATCAGTTTTAAATTACAAGTAGGAGTCCTACACGGAGAAAAGGAACGGCGATATATTCTTATTGGATATATTCTATATTCGATTCGAATGGTGACTATTTCAAAGTTGAAGGAGTGAAAAAAAAAACAATTAACGTGTTTTATCAGGCATCGCAGGTCTAATTTTAGACAATATCGAATCACGGTTTAGACATAAACTTCTTTTTGTAATAAGGAATACTTTGGTCAATGGTTTATTACTAGTGTTAAACCAGGTTTATCTTTTTGTAACGAACGTGTTTATAATACGATTGGTGAAATCCGACCTAATAAGACAGTTAGTGTATTATTAGTACCATATTAATTATGATATAGGCAAAATACTCGATATTATTTTTTTTACTAATAGAACTGAAAGTTAACCTATAAATATTGTAATTTTTTATGCAACAATTATTACTATATATTAATATTATGAACTATCACATTCAGAACTGGTTATTTATCCTTTAGACAAAGAATTGTTATTAATTAATTATTGACATTGTACATGTGTGATTCGGTATAAGAATATACGAGTGATTCTTATACCGAATCACTTTATTGAACGAACATATATAGCCGTAATAAGCACTTAGAGGCGATTTTTTTTTATTTGACAAGCCTATTAGGTGTTTACTGTTCTTAAAATTATGTTAAATATTGTTTTGTTTTTAGAGTATAATATTTATTTACTACAGAAATACCTATATTCTCGGAATATTCATTGTAATTTTAGTTTGACTTAGTACTGATCTACAAACTGCAAAAAAGTCTTTCGGTATAATCAACTTGCTCTTTGCACATAAATTGGTTTAACTTACATGCAATGAAGTAGTATATGTATTTGAGTTTTGGGAATTAAAATCTAGCTATAATCCTATATAGAATATTGCATATACATGTATAAACAGGTTCAAATCTAACAATTGGCCGATCTTTAAAACATAGACCTCGAAATGCTTACAGTAAGTGGTAGTAAACAGGGTTACTGCAAACTCGACGTTTTTAAAATCACAAAATTCAGAATAACTCGATGAGAATACGTCGAGGTCCCAGTAACCCTGTATAGTAAGAGATATAGAGCGTGAATGTGTTTGATAAGGTCGTCCAACTCAACGTTGCAAGATAGTTACTCAATGACGTATTGAAAGCTCGTTAAGTATTAAGTTTATTTTAGTTATTAGTTTATATTGAAGCATTTTTAGGCTGGATTTCACCAATCGCAGTATAAAAAACGTGATAAAAATATGTTCAAAGAAACGGAGATCAGCATAGACGTTGATCTCGTTTTACTTTTGGAATTCACCAGCAATATATAAATCGCGTTTACCAAAATGAAGTTTAGATTTTCATTCATTCATAGTATTACACGCTCATAAAATAATATTTGATTCTAAAACAATTTTAAGAAATATTTGTAATTCAATCATGTGATAATTAGGATAACTTTTTTAGTTTTTAATTTAACAAGTACCGTCGACTACAAAATATATAACAACAATCTTTACCTATAAACAAGGTAAAACATTATTTTATTGAGGTTTTTTACACTACTGACAATTTTCTGTTTATTCCTGATGTTAAATTGTTAAAAATTTGATTGATGACTGTTTGACAACTGACAACTGCTTTAAATACGTTTAAAGAGTTAACCGTAGGAAATCGGGCTCCTACGTTTAAAGTAATAAAAAAATAAAATAAATCAATTTTTTAAATTCAGATTTTATAAATATGTAGTGGTGAAATGCAAACTGTAGCTTTGAACACGTTTAAACGTTTTAATCACGTATGGTTCGAACTAAATACGATCAGTTTCTTCTTTATAACACTAGTTTTAAATCAGTTTTTTACACTATTTCTCTGTGGCTGATTCACAAACTGGACAACTTCAGTGTATTGTCGGTGTATGATTATAATGTGGCATATCTCAAATGTGCTCCAATTGCAGAAGAGCGTCAGGAAATCATGGAATCTGTCGAAAAAAGTTGGGAAAAAAGAAATGCAAAAATGCTCGAACGGGCTACGAATCCATTACACCGACAGAAGCGTCTGCTTGGCGAGAGCGATTCTTCAGGGGAAGAAACTGAAGATGAGAGCAGCATGTCGTCTACGCTTGCAGAAGCCGAAGATTGCATGGTTCCCGGAAGGAGTATGACCCTCGCTACTTTTGCTAAGGTTAGTTAGGTAGCGTTGAAAACAGTTCGTTCAACTTGTGCGATTTGATGGCAATGCAACTACACAATCCTCATTCAAAATTACTCCCAACTTACTAGTAAATTAAGTAGTTGTTTTGTAGTAGATAGTGTACTACCTATTATATCCTAAAGAATGCTTCACGTTTCTAATAACTTTAGTTGTATCTTTTTGAGAACAATCAATATATGTTACCATATACCTAAGTATGTTATATGAATAAATTTTAATCATAACGACCATCGTAGGCGGCAGCAGCGGCTCAGGAGGCCTATTACGGACGATCGCAAGAGCCACCACAACCGGCCGACGTGGAAAATAAATACTGGCGGTTCGTTGTAACGCGCAACGAACATGTTTGCGTGTACAGCGCGTCTCTAGATACTGGTGACGAGGGGTATGGCTTCCCCACCGACAGCAGCGACCCCTATGGAACACATCCGTGGAATTTAAAAGTACGTCATTAGCGACCCGGTATCTAATGCTAAGTATCAGTACAATATGTACATTAGTTTAATTTTATTCAATAGTCGTAATAACAAACTGAAAGACAGTAATATTACTAATTAAAGCCCGTAATTTACATAATGTACAAATGTTTTTTTTAATCTTTATATGAACTGGCTGCTACAATCAATTTAAGAAGAAAAATTCAAAATATTCTTTCTGTTTCTTGATGAAACGCGATAAAGGTTGGATGTCCTGTATCCGTAAAATCGGTATCGGGCCAAACCACTATCCGTTTAACTCTAATCTTTACCTTAAACAGATAAATATAAATTACTCTCAATATAAACTTTTATATAACAGGTTATAAGCCAAAATGAAGGAAACGTATTGCGATCACTGGGTCCAGTGTTAGGAGTGACGGTGCCAACACTCCATTTCAGTATGATGTTCTCCACCAGCTGCTGGCACCGGGATCCTCATGGGCTACCATGGATAGAATACATGCACCGAGGTCCTCCCAAGATATGGTGCGTACTGCTTCGTACATTATTATATTTATATGGAAAAGGGACATCAGCATTCCATGTTACTTACAATTGACGCGAGTTCAGTACCCGCATTTTTATCAATTTAAATTCATGACGTAAAAGGCAATTGAATTGCTATTGATTCTTTTAAATAGTACTAGCTGACCTGCGCAAATTCCTCTGCCACACGCTTTGCCCGTTTATTAAATATTTCCCATTGGAGCTGTTGGGTAAAAAAGGGAAACTAAGGACCAACCTGGTTCGTGTCGTCCCCGCGTGCAGGTCTTATTTTACGCGTAGCCGTTTCACTTTAAAAACGCACAACACTACGATGAATTTCACTGGATGATGTACTAATCAGATGATTGCGCGAAGATCGCGGCTGATGGTTCCGTTAACGTTGATTCGCGGAGAATATGTTGATTTGCGTGTGCTCGACGCGACGTACAACGAACGACTCATTTTGTTGATGCTACCCCCAGATTTGGTGGATAAAAATAGGAGTAGGATTTAGGGTAGTAACATATTGCAAGTTGGCTAGAAATTAGTAGATTTATATCAACCATACCGCCCCCAAAGAGCCTCTAAGCTCTTTAGAGAATAAAAAAAAAGTAAGATATGAAACTGCAAAGGTTTCCAACAATGTTAACTATAAAAAAAAAATAATAATAATAATGAGATGTAACTAAACTAATAATACTATAAGCTAAGGTTCGATAGCATAAGAATAATGATCGGCTTTAGGCACAAGGTAATAATGGACAAATCTTGACTACTGGTCGAAGTAACGTACCAGTAGAAGTTTTCAACTCTACCACCCTAACAGTACCGTCAGAACCTGGACAAATTTTAGTTACCCTAGCAATTTTCCAACGAAATGGTGGCAAACCGGGATCTTTCAGCAAAACCAAATCGCCTACTTGAACGTTAGGTAGTTTAGCAAGCCATTTGGGTCGCTGTTGTAATGTATGAAGATATTCGGATTGCCAACGCTTCCAAAAATGCTGAGTTATTTGCCGTACTAACTGCCAACGCTTGAGAAGATTTGATTCTATTATTTCTTCTTCAGGTAATGCCTGAAGAGGTTTACCGATGATAAAATGGCCAGGAGTTAAAACGTCTAGGTCATTTGGATCATTTGTCATAGGTACTAAAGGACGTGAATTTAGAGCAGCCTCTACTTTAGTGAAGATGGTAGCTAATTCTTCGTAAACCAGTGAGCGATCGCCAATTACACGAGTAATGATTAATTTGGCAGAGCGAACAGCACTCTCCCATAAACCACCCATGTGTGGACTGGCGGGAGGATTCAAATGCCAAACTATTTGTTGATGAGCTAAATATTTATGGATTTCCTCATGAGAATTTATAATATGTTGCGTAACATCTTTTAGATAATTCCGAGCACCAACAAAATTGGTACCGCAATCGCTAAATACGTCGCTAGGAAGTCCCCTACGAGAAACAAACCGATCGAAGCATGCAAGAAACGCTTCAGTAGACAACTCTGAAACAATTTCCAGATGAGTACATTTGGTAGTAAAACATACAAAAATACAGAGATACGATTTTACGGACTTGGCGTTTCGGATACGAGAAGTTTTTAAGAAAAACGGGCCCGCAAAATCGATCCCAACCTTTTGAAAAGGTCGACAGGATGTTACTCGGTGGGAGGGTAGATCTCCCATAAAAGGTTCAATAGATCTAGGTCGTGATCTATAACAACGTTGACAACGAAAAATTTGTTGGCGGACAATTCGACGCGCTGATATAATCCAAAAGTATTTTTGTAATAAATTTAGAAGGGAATTTAGACTAGGATGTAAAAAGACATGATGATAATAGTCAATTATCAATCGTGTCACGTGGTGTGCCTTAGGAAGTAGCAATGGATGCCTTGTGTGGTACGGCAAATTAGAATTGGTAAGCCTTCCACCTACTCTTACGAGACCGATGTTGTCGAGAAATAAATTAAGTCTCATGAGACCACCTTTAATAGATTTGTTTTCCTGTAGCCTTTTAATTGTTCCAGAGAATTCCGAAGACTGAACCAATCGAATGATAGTGTGAGTGCTATCAATCAACTCGGCCACACTAATTGGTCCAGTTCTTCGTTGTGAAGGCTTGCGTAGATTGTGACAGAAACGTTTGCACCAAGCTACTATACATCGTAACTTGGTAAACGAGCTGTACTTGGTGAGAAAAGGAGGCTCCGTAATAGTATGCGTGACATATGCTGCAGGATAGGAGGACCGTACACCAGGCAAGTCGGCTTCGCTAAGTTCTGATGCTTCATTAGGCCATGTTGAATCGTCCATTTCAAGCCATGATGGACACCACCATAGGGGATGATCAACTAATTCAGTAGGAGTAAGGCCTCGACTGGCTGAATCAGCTGGATTCATCATGGACGGTACGTGTTTCCACGTGACATTGGAAAATAAATTTTGGATTTGGGATACACGGTTCCCTTCATAAGTTTGAAGTTTGTGAGGTGAAGTTTTAAGCCACGATAGGACTATGTTCGAATCACACCAAGCAATGACAGTAGTGATTGACATTTTGACATTTAAAATGTCAAACACGTGTTTGGTTAAGCGAATGAGTAAAAGTGCACCGTTTAATTCCAATTTGGGAATAGTTAGTTTTTGTTTGAGTGGTGCTACCCGTGATTTTGCAAGTAATAATTTAACATAATTACCATGAGTATTTTGAATACGCAGATAGATGCAAGCGGCATACCCGCGCTCGGACGCATCACTGAAACCGTGCAATTGACATACAAACGGTTGATCAGTGATAACGTAACGTGATATAGATACTTTATTAAGATGAGGAAAATCTGCTATTAATTCCGACCAAGATTTTTGTATAGCAGGGGGAAGTGGATCGTCCCAACTCTTTTGTGTTGACCACAGCTGTTGCATAAGGTGCTTGGCGTAGAAAGTGACAGGAGCTAAAAATCCACATGGATCGTAAAGTCTCGCGATGTTAGACAAAACGCCACGCATGGTCATGACATTACTCATGTTTGAGACATGATAGATGAAGCTATCCGTTTTTGCGTTCCATTCGATGCCCAGAATTTTGAAGAGGTCACCCTGCTCCTCGAAACGGTATGGTGGCTCGCAATGATCGGAGGTGAAAGATTCCAAGAACTCCTTTGAGTTGCTTGACCACTTGCGCAAATCGAAACCGCCTTGAGAGAGAATGGCAACCAGATTTTGCTGCAATTGCTGAGCAGAATCAAGACAATGAGACCCACTAACTATATCATCTACGAATGTATCAGCATATTGGCTAGTATTTAAATGAGCTAACTCGTGAATGACGCGAATAGCTTGATAAGCAGAGCTCGTGACGCCGTATGTTACGGTAGTTAACTCGTACTGCTTCAAGGATTCAGCAGGAGAAGCGCGCCAGAAGATAGTTTGGTATCTGCAGTCGTCATCATGCATGCGCACCTGTCGATACATTTGTTTTATGTCGCATGTGAAGACAATTTTGTGGAGTCGAAATCGCAAAATAATATCTTCAATATTTTTTTGAAGTTTGGGACCGGACATAAGTACCTGATTAAGTGAAACACCTGTAGAGCTAGAGGCTGATGCATCATATACAGCACGAAGTTTTGTGGTACTACTGTGTTCACGTAACACACCATGATGGGGAATATAATATCGGTCACTTGATACTGGACCTGACACTTGACGCATATGGCCAGCTTCAATGTAATCCCTCATGAAGGCAACATAAAGTTCATGCAACTTCTCATCCTTAAGCATGCGACGCTCCAAATTATGAAATCGCTTTAAGGCGTTGGTGTGTGTTTCACCCAAAGGTTTATGATCCACTTTGAAAGGTAACCGCACGATGAAACGACCAGTGCTATCCCTTGTATGAGTGTTAGTGAAGTGTTTTTCACAAATAATGTTTTCAGGATCTTGTATAGGTTGACTGGGAGGTTCCTCAGATTCCCAGAACCTTGAAAGGTTAAAATTAATATCTGTGGTACAGGCCATGGAGACCACACCACAAGTCTGCTGCGATGCTGTGGGAGCCTTGCCCATGATGATCCAACCTAAGATGGATGAATGCGCAGTGGGCATGTCTTCACCCAGGCTACGTTGTTCACCATCAATAATTTTATTAAAACAGTCAACACCTAAAAGAACATCTATTTTTCCCGGCATTGAAAAGTTGTTATCAGCCAAGACTAAGTTTTTGCATTTATCTAAAATGCATTTATTTACCATAACTGATGGGAGATTACCTGTTATGCGTTTTAGGATGATACAATTAGTTGATATGGTCTTGGTAGGATCCATAAAAGATTTTATGTTGCAGTGTATCATTCCCCGACTATGCTGAGCTGATGAAGCACCTAAACCAAGAACACTGCTAGACGGTGAACGTGGCAGTCTAAGTTGTTGTGCAAGATTTTCGGTTACAATTGAAACCTGAGAACCATTGTCGATGAGAGCACGAGCTGAATGGTAATATCCATTGACATCTCGTACACTGACAATAGCAGTACCCAAAATCATAGTGGATTTACATTCGACACCATGGATAGATTGAAGTTGAGCTATGGAACCCACTGTCGACACAGCAACTTCATTATCTTTTGGGTAAGGTTTCACTTGATTGGATGAGATGTGTAGCTTTGTATGGTGTCGGCCACGACATACTCTGCATACACTTTGTGAAATGCATTTTGAAATATGATGAGTTCTTAAACAATTAAAGCAGAGTTTATGTTGAAAAACAAAGGATTTTCTTTGTTCCGGAGTCATTGTATCAAATTTAGAACAGTAATATAGACTATGTTTATCCTGACAGCAAGGACAAATAATTGTACTAAGTTTATTTTTATTGTTTGATTCAATGACAGTTAATGTACTACTAGTAGAAGCCCTATGTATAGAAGCACTAACATTTTCTAAAACATGTAATTGATTTTCCAAAAATTTAATTAAATTCTCAAATGTAGGTATAGTTTTAATTTCAACTTGAGATTCAAATTTGCTTCTCAAATCCAGTGACAATTTTCTAAGAATTATATGAAGTAAAAGAAAACTCCATGATTTAGTATTCATGTTTAAGGCATCAAGAGCTTGAGTGCTCTCTTTAATGGTGAATAAGAATTTTGTTAAAGTTTTTAAATTTAATTGTGTTAAATTTGGCAAATTAAGAATTGCTTCTACATGTTTATCAGCGATAACTCTCTTGTTTTCATAGCGTTCTGTTAATAAATTGTAAGCAACTTGATAGTTCTCACTAGATATTACTAAATGCTTTACCAAAGAGAGTGGTTCCTTATCCAAAACACTCAATAAATAGTGTAACTTTTGAACAGAACTTAAACTATCATTATTATGAATTAGACTGTTGAAAATTGAGATGAAGTTTGGCCACTCTATGCTCACACCTGAGTACCTATTTAGAGATATCTTGGGAAGCTGAAAGGCAGGTTCAGATTTAGATGATGAGTGTTGAAAACCACTGGCATTGTCACTCTTTGTTTGTATTGAACTATGCAAAACTTGAACAGAATAAAACATATCCATAAAAGTTGAATATCTGTTTTCCAACTCCTCACGAGATTTGTCACTTACAGACTCAGTACTAGACATAAGAATAGCAAAAGCCTCCTCGAATTGTTGCCTAAACCGTTCAATATCCTTAAATCGAACCATGAAACCAACTTGCTCTTGTGAAGTTAAGTTTGGATTTTGGCTAAGTTTACCTGCAAGTTCATACACATTTCGCATGTTTTTGTAACTCAGATCGCAGTTTGTGGCATACGCTTTGATATTTGCCATTGTATTTTGATGTTATTTAACCAAAATAATGTAATATTTTCCTAAATGATATACGAAAATTAAAATGTAAACAAAAGTTAAACTAACAATTTGATTGAATGAATTAATACTGACGGGTTATGATTGACAACTTACTGTTCTGTGTTGCCAACAATGAGTTATGATTTTTGCTTAAAGCTTTATTGACAGCCAATGAATGATACTGATTTGATGGAATGAATGACAAGGTGAAATATGAGCAAAATGGCTGATATGTACGGCGGTTGATATGACAATGAAAAATGACTTGCAATACTTGATGAAATTATGAGATGAATATGATAATCAGATGATTATGAAATATGATTTATTTATGGGTTTTGAGATGAATGATGGTGATCTGGACGAAGGACCATGAAGAATGTTGGGTAAAAAAGGGAAACTAAGGACCAACCTGGTTCGTGTCGTCCCCGCGTGCAGGTCTTATTTTACGCGTAGCCGTTTCACTTTAAAAACGCACAACACTACGATGAATTTCACTGGATGATGTACTAATCAGATGATTGCGCGAAGATCGCGGCTGATGGTTCCGTTAACGTTGATTCGCGGAGAATATGTTGATTTGCGTGTGCTCGACGCGACGTACAACGAACGACTCATTTTGTTGATGCTACCCCCAGATTTGGTGGATAAAAATAGGAGTAGGATTTAGGGTAGTAACATATTGCAAGTTGGCTAGAAATTAGTAGATTTATATCAACCAGGAGCTCTGCTCCTATTATTTGTAGTTAATTATTTATTGGTTCTACGGTATATGCGTCAAGGCGTAACATACAAAATGATAAGTTTCATCAAGATCTAATAGTAGTATTTGAGTGAAAGAGGAACTAACATCCATTTATACTGTTCATACACACAAACTTTCTAGTTTATAAGAGAAAGATTATTATAAACAAAACTAACTTCCGTATTGTTCTAGATATTCAAATAGTAGCTATTGCACTCATCAGCTTATGTATTCGTTCCAGGTATGGCATACCAGACGAGCAGAGTGATAATTTCCGTCGAGCAGTGGAGACATTGTGCCCCACATCTTGCCAAAATAAATCTATTTGGCTCCCATCTGACATCACTATGATCCCGCCAAAACTCCTGCGAGAGCACAAAGTAACGCTCTCGCGATTGGAACAGGCGCCGGGTGAATATGTTATCGTGTTTCCTAAGGCGTACTCGTCTTCAATATCGACTGGTTACACCCAGTCCGAAAGTGTGTACTTTGCAACTGACACTTGGCTCTCCGGCGTCGACAGGGTGTTCCTGGTATATTCTATTTTTATTTACATATATTCTTATGAAATGGTAAAAACAATGATATAGCTGTAATAAGAATATTTTAGGTTAATTGGATTATAATATTATTTATAAACATTTCGATAAAAAGTTATACTATTACTTCTCAACAAATTATCTTAATTTATGGGATATTAACATAAATAGAATAATCAATCTTAAAATAGAGTACACTACATTTATATCAATGTGCGTCTAAATAATGTCATATGTTTGTTCACCAGGAATTGCGCGATAGTTGCGAACCGACGATGTTTTCTATAGAACAACTTCTACTCGCGATCGCTACGGACGAGCGTATCCCACCACGAGTTCTAAGACCCGTATCTGGCGCTCTCGGTCGCATAATTGCCGATGAGCTCGCCTATCGACGGCAACTGGCTCGGCTCGGACTCTCAGCTGCTGCGTCGACGGCTGACGGTACACGCACCTGGCGGCGACGGCCGGCCGGTGCGTGGAATGTGAGGGAACAGGACGAGTGTGAGGTTTGCCGTGCTACACTATACCTGTCGAAGGTGACTGGTATGGCGGGACGCCGTGCCGCTGCCTGTCTACAACACGCGGTGCTGCTACTACGTCGCGATCCTGAAGGAGCAGCAGATGCCACCCTCCATTGTCATTACACGGATGATGATCTGCGCGATGCTGTGTGCGCACTCGATGCGCGTCTTCGCCTCCCATCTGTCAAGTAGATAAGATACATGTTTTCATAATTGTAACACGTTTTGTGCTCACCTTACATAATTGTTGTATTTTAAATGTCATGTATTGAATAGACGATGTTCAAATTTTTAAACATTAAAAATATCTAATATATTTTTAATGTTTAAAAATTTGAACATGACCCCACCGAAATTAAAGCATAAATAGCACATAAGACTCTTCTAAATTGTTGTGTTATTATTATAGTCTGTTGTTTAATCCCGAAGACAAATTTGACATTACCGATGTTGCCAGGTTTTTCCAATTTTTTAAATAAGGTTGTGGCGCTATCGGAAATTAACTTCAATATTTATTATTATTATATTATTTAAAACCCATTAACACATGATTTATAAAGATAGGTATTAATTTTTTATCAATATAGATTTTTTATTTTTCACTAAATTAAAGACACTGTTTTTTTTTTATAAAACAAATTACCTTATAGTGTCACATATCATAAAACACACGCATATATAATATTTGGCTGTTGAAATAAAACAAAAATTCTTTGTAGATTAATACTGTAAAAATTACTATTTATACTTAACGACAAAAAGGTATTTTTATATTGTATAATACAACGACAGTAATGGAAACACAATATGTACGTCTGTGGAAACGTCGTCAAAAGCTTTAAAATTAATGTGTTAAAATAAAAGTTTCCATTTAAACAAATTTGTCATATCCACCTGTCTATTTAGTCTCCGAGATTAATAAACAAACTATATATTTAGACTGTTTTAACTGTAATCTACTATGTATAAACATCTTTATAAAGCAAAGAATGCCACTTAATTTTACTTGTGTTCGTGAATCTCAAAAAGTGGCGCTCCAGCGTACAATCGTTCTGTTTATTTATATTTATATGGACACTCCTTTCCGCTTGAATAGGCTATTCACGCGTGAAAGGGGCCCGTACGTGTAAAGCTAGCTATTTACATGCACTCTCTTTTACATATGAAAGCCGGTTCGAGCGTTTAAGAGCGTACGTGTAAAGGCTAGCTGCCTTAAGTTTATAGTCTACTTCTTTTTAAACACTTATACCATGTGCACTGTAGCATGGTGCGGGTGACAGTTTCAGTAATGTTTCGTTTCACTCCAGAAATTTGTCGCGATTTACAAATTATGACTTAGTATTTCAGTTATACCACATTCGTAATATATTAAATAATTAATAACTGTAGTAAGTTAAATTTAATCCAGCTAAAATGTTCTAGTTTACAAATACAGGCAACTGTCACCCACACTTTGCTACAGCTCACATAGTATAACTACTATCAATCTCCCATTTAAAAAGACAAGCCTATATTATTAGATAAGTGATACACTTTATAAATAATTTTTATTCTAAAGAATAATAACAAATCATAGATCAGGGTATATATCAGCATTTATGCATATATATACAGTCTGGCCAAAAGTTCGCGGACTGGTCGCATAAAAACGGTTAATCAAATAAAAAATATATATCTCAATTTATTCAAAATATGATCCTCATTGATACAATGTTTGAATTTTCTATGAAAAGATTGGAAGCGGTTAGAGAGTTTCTCTTTCCTATGCCGGTTCAGGACGTCGGTAACGTTAACGTTGAATCACTATTATGGAGTCGAAATACCTGCCCTTCATAGACATTTTTATTTTAGGAAATAGCTAGAAGTCCTTTGGAGACAAATCTGGTGAATAGGGCGAATGTTCAATTGCGACAATTGCCGTTTTTTGTTAAATACTCCTTTACAATCTTAGCCTTTGAGCAGGCTCCACTATCCTTGTTGCCGATATTCTGGCCTTATCCGATAAACTCTGTCTCCTATGTAATAATCTAAGAGCAAATTCCTTGTGAATTATCCCCTTGGGAGTCGAAGAACACAGGAAATCGTCCTCAATTTCTTCACGACCATCTTTGAAGAGTGAAAACCACGGCCGTACAGCCCAAAGCTTCTTCCCATATCCATTTTTATCATTTCAAAATTTTCTGTAGCAGTTTTTCCAAGCTCGAAACAGAACTTGATATTTGCTTGACGAGGTAGCAAGACTTGATTTGGCAAAAAAGAAATTATGAACAAAGTATAAACACTGGGAATCTGAAAATTTCTTAGTTGACACAATGTTTCTTTACCTCTTTAATAAAATCTTTAGATACCATGTGGCGCTAACCTTTTCTTTACGTGGGGAAAATACCTCATAGAGACCCGCCTGTCTCAGAGGTAGGACGGATAGGTACTGTGAGACTCCTACTCGCCAAAAACCCCACGTATTCCTCCTCGCCGCCGTAGTGCTGGGTCGCGGGATCGAGCTGGATATCAACCACGACCCCTGCGGAGGTTGTCCGCAAGCTGGCCTTCCTCAACGTGTGGGGGGAACACTTCCCAGTTCCCACGCTTCCGCCTACCGGGGGGAAGACGCACCGGAATACAGGATACGCCTCCGCCCCATCTCGGCTCCTGTTGTGTGGACGGCAGACTAGAGTAGTTATAGCAGGAGCGATTCTGCAACGCGACGCTTAACGGCCGGGATGGGCCCCACCTGGGCCCATTGTCCCAACCTGCCTCCCTTCGCCGGACCATCGGCCAAAATGGTAGCAGTAACCGAAGGTATTACTACCATCCCGCCCATGGTCTACCAAAACCAAATCATTGCTCGGCTACCGTTTCCCGTATACGTATCACGAGGATGGGGGACCTCCCAATGGCTGGAACATAAGAGGAGGTTGTCCGACCTCACGCCCTTGTGACGCTAAGCTGACTCAATTTATAGGGTCAGTTTGCGAACTTTTGGTCCAGACTATGTATGTAACCCTACATGGGTTAGGTTGATAAGTGTCCGTAATTATAGAGTACTTAGCAATTAAGAGGTTTTTGATGTATTACTTAAATTATTGAATATGAAGAATTTGATAGATGACTTCTTATATTTTGATTTATTGATTTTTTCAGTAATAATAATTTTAGATGTAAGGATTTTGGGTACGTTACCTACATATATGAAGTCAATATTTTTTTCTTGACTGAAATCATTAGTGTTAATTTGTTTACTTTCTGGTTGTGTGCAGATTAATTTTAGTTGCTCTATCACTAAAATTTGCATATTGACCACAGTGTCCTAAAATAAAATGTACTTAGCATTTTAGAGGTTAAACTTTTTTTGAAGTTTATTATTGTTTTGGTTATATTAGTTAAATTATTTAGGATGAAAAATTTGATAGCTTTTTTATATTTTGGTTTATAGCTTTTTTCAGTATTTTTTACTTAATTGAAAAGAATGTATCCTCATTAGTGTTATTTTGTTTACTTTATGGTTGTGTGCAGATTACTTTTAGCTCCTCTACTAACACTAACAGTTGCGACAATTTGCGTTGTCATACTGAGTCGTTGTACCTTAATTACTTAAGTTTCCATAATAATAACACAGAAGATAAGTATAAAGTAAAGCACAACAGGCTAATTAACTGATTTTGAAAGGATGTACTAAATGTAACTTATTTGTGTTAGTGAGTATTCAATAAAATTATAAAATGGAAATTTATACGCCTATTACTCTCTTATATCAACAATTTCTAACCCTTTTATATGAAACAGTTTTTACTGTGTGATTTCAAGGCCGGAATAACATTGGGTTGGTGATTTTTCTCCTTGTTTAAAAAGAAAGAAAGAAAAATATTTTATTCAGTGCAATGTAATAAATACAATATAAACAACAAAAAGAGCAAATAAAATTTACATATAATTAAACTTAATTTACCGTGTAGATATTTAAAAATAAACATAAAATAATCATTTTTACATCCATATGTAGAAAAAGTTGTAGAAATGATGTACCTCCATACTATATATTAAATTTCTATATATTGATTGAATAACTGATTAAATTGTAACTCATGATACTGGTCTGTGCGTTTATCCTACAAAGAAACAAAATAACCAAAATGACACTTTAAAGTGGAGACTGAATTTGAATTGACATTAGCATATGCAATCTTATCCAACTCATTAGCATTACAATAACTCAATAAATACGGATGAGTACACTGATTTGAGTAATGTTAACGGAATTATAACTCATAATATATGTTGATAATGGAATGGTGTAACCGCCTGGGCTATACGTTGGCGGGACACCAGTGGAAAATGATGAGTATGTTGTCGGATCAGACCTATCCTGGGTTACCTGAGCTGACGTCAACAAAATCAGGGGGAACCGCGCGGAGATCAACTGACATGGTTAATTGCTAGCAATGTTATTAATCCGCATTGCTAATAATCCCCTTCCCCCTATGCAATTATGATTATTGTTAATTGTAAGTCAATTGACTTCAAATTATAATAATAAATATGCCGATACCAGACATTCGAGTAAGTGGCGTGTCGTGGTGTAATGAACGCAACACTACATGCCCTTATGTCTCTAGATACGTGTATAATTTATTCCCACTCCATGACTTAAGAACATTATAAGAATTTATCAGAAATTATATCTTTCACTCGAAAATTATTAAAGAGATATGAGTGGAAAAAAATTTGTATCACTTCCAATTACTTCATACATAAATCTCTGAGACAAATTTGATTTAAAAAATGGCAAAAGCAGGCAACATTGGTGATGTTGCTAGCTTTGTTAGCAGCAAACAAACACAAATCATTCCCTTCCGCATTCAAGATTTACCTACTATCTAACTTTGCATATTTCATTCAATATATGTTATTATATATTCAATACATTGTACATACCTACTGTGAAAAAATAATATTAATGGATTATTACTGAATTATTTCATGTGTAAGTTTTTATAATGATTTATTTGTAAGTTTGGTTGAATTTTAATGTTATTTGTATAAAAATAACACATTTTTATACAAATAATATTAAAATTTAATTCGATTGAAGGACTTGTATCCCTGGTCGCGAATATATAATTATTAATTACAACGGTGCAGACGTAGGTGATTTAAATTATAATTTCTTTTCCTGGTCCTTATATGATCGTACCTCTTTTAGAGACATCTCATTTCCTTAAAAGTTCAATTTCCTACATCTATTTATCTATCTATAAGTAAGTAGGTATACTAATATTGTCTCATCCCTATTATTCAGTTTATATTTACCCGTACTATTTCCCGTCTATTCTCAGTGCCGTATTGGGCAACACAAACCTTTACATTCAGTCAGCAGTCAATCATTTCATTCGTTCGTAGAAAGCAAGCTTTCGGCTTTTTTGAATATTATTTTTCGACTTTCCTTTATTGTTTATTCGGTAAGTTATTAAAACACCATTCACATAATACATACGACATGACCTATTACTTTTAATATGTTTGTTTATTTGCTATTTCTTCTATACATTGTTTCTATTTACACGTGTCGTCTCAGTACTTACTTTGAATTATGGTACCTACTTATTAATGATTTATTGAAGAAAAGGTATCAATATAAGTGTGTAGGCGATTTATTATGTTATCAAATAGTTTATGAATATGTTATAAATTATTCTGTAGTTTCAATTGAAAAGATTTTATAAGTTATTGTTTACAATCATCATTCTTGAATAACGGTTTTGTATCCCGTTGTGTATTATTATATACGGGCGTTTCTTAATCAAGGCAATGGACGCAAATAACTCTAATGATAAATATTTTATTAATAATCCTAATTATTTCGTACCGTATTAGAACCATCCATTGACTTCTTTGTATATGACATGGGTCTCATCATAGCTTAATAGTCGCCTACTGTTATTACGCCGGTAAAGTGGTGTGATACAGCCTATTTACTTAGAGTTGACTTCACTATCCTTTCTAGCTAGCTTTTATAATAATCTGGGTAGTTTCCTTCATACTTGTTTAATAATTACCTACCTGTTTATTGAATAAATTACTTTTGGAATGAGATAGTTTTATATGTATTATATATTTTACCTATAAAGATATTACTTAGTCTTAATAATACAAATGAAGATTGCATGTACTTATTTTTCTTTATAACAATTAGATAGATATAAGATTCAAGAAATTTTTCATTCATAACACGAGATGGAGAATACACATACAATGGTTTTTCTTAGAAACCATAAGAACTTTTGAAAACTTAAAATATAAAGCATGTAATGGTGTTGTTATTCTTTCCTTTTACCTATATACATTGATAAGAATTGAATTGTCTCTTTATTTTGAAATGGAATTACTGCAGATTTGTAGTCCTTGAAGAATTCTTTTACTTTCAGGGTGAAACATGTCATCAAACAATGGTCGAAAACGTCCTGCTATTCTCAGTAAACGAGCATCCAAAATAAAGAAGGTGAACAAATCAGCTTCTGAAGATGAGGACAGCATCGACTCGGCAACTTCAGAGAATCCACCCAGGAGTCCATCCCCAATGCCAGAGGAGTCTAAAATTAAATTACCAGAGGTATCTGTATGGGATCTATATAACATATAAGTTGCTAACTAGTTACTGATATTAGGCTGGCATAACATAATGAAAGCTCTAAAACTGGAGGGAAGACATTACATTTTTCATTACATAATTTGAATGTGTTTGGTTTAGATGAATGAGGTTATGGACTTCATGAGCACATTCGCCATAATGCAGCCTATATATTGAAGACCAATAGGCAAGCCACTTAATATTTGTGGCTAAGGTTTTTACGCCTCTTTTTGATGCCATTTTAGCTATAGATTCAGTATATCCCCAAGTTTAGGATACAGTGGACGGACAGTGAAGTCACCGACTTCACTTCTGTACTTCATTACCGTAATGAAGCCCCCTTTAGCTCTGTTGCTAGCAATGTACCCTATGGAATCAAGCTCCATAGGTTCCTGCTGGGAACAATGTTGATAAATTCACTACAATGACCTATATGACATGACATAGAGCCTCTCTTATCATAATTCACTATTACCCCATATATATACAGGTGCTGCTGGCAGCATTTCATTTATTCTAAAAATAAAGACAAATAAGTTTCAATACTTATATTGAAGAGAATGAATAATGTGAGAAGGGTGAGAAGAATGAGTGAAATTGAGTGAGTGAAAGTTGGATTGTGTAAAATGAACAAAGGTAAATTGATGATAAAATTGACAAGGGCTACTTGACTGTGACTATTTGTAATGTATTTTTTTTGTGAAAGATAATGAAATAATGCAGGCCAGCCAGATAACAGAGAAAATGTATCTTATTACCAACCAATTTATCTACAGGAACTATTGAAGACTTTCATAAAGACACCAGGTGTGCTATTGATAGCAGGCCTTGTCTCTTGGGATCTGGTTGCTAAGAGAGACAGTAATCCTTCGAAACGCACCCATCCCAATCTATACACCTTCCACAAGTTTACTAATCGCAGGGTAAGTTGTTGCTAAATAGATAAAAATATGTTCCTTATTTTATTACAGTTAGTTTTAATATGTTTTGTTTGGTGGTCCTGAATACATCTTCTTTAAACACTGGCTTAAAATTTGAAGTCAACTGCTCCAGCACCCCCCACCCACAATTAAAAATTAATACTTAGCACAGTTTTAACTGATGAGACTGTAAAAAATACTAGGCGAGTTTGCAAGTAACTTTATAAGTTGGTGTATTTTTCCAAAATGCAACACTTAGTATTTCTTAAAAAGCAAATTTCATTCCCAACTTTTAACGAACTATATGGGATAACAAAAGAAAAAATATATAAATATATGTCCATATAGTAGTAACAGCTATCAGAAGATCATCACTGGATATAGAATTTAATGTTTTTTTATAAATGTCTGTAATTTTTAAAATACGTAATATAAACTATTTAAAATTTCTGATAAATATTCTGACAACCTGTTACTTGGTTCTGGCTCAACGTCAACTACTGGGACAATCTGTACATCGATTTTATTTTGTTCTAGTACCGCTTAATAGTGAGTTGCTGTAGTGCTGGACACTCCATACTCGTGTCAGAGGAAGGTGAAGCTTACACCTTTGGTGAGTTTAAGAGATTCTTATTATATAAACAGTAAAGAAATATATATAAATATATATATATAAAAGAGTGTAAAGACTTACCACACAAATATAAACAGTAGACTGTATAAAATCTATTATTTTAATTAAAGTGTATATGAATGTGGATGTTTATAATGGCAGAGGAAGGCCGAAAAAGAGATGAATGGACTGCGTGAAAGATGATATGGTTAGAAAGGATGTAAATAATGAGATGACTGTTAACAGGGATGAATGGAAGAGAAAAAGATATTACGCCGACCCTAAATAAAGGGGATAAGGAAGAAGCAGATGCTGATGACTATATAAAATCTTCTACATAGGTACCTCAGTCCAATCTATTTCAGCCGCCAAGCAGCTTGCTCTGTGCTCTTGTTGTGCGTGTAGGCAGTGAAATTACTGAATACTACTGGCAACGCCTGAGTAGTACATGTACATGATCTCATCTTATCATGTGCCAACCATGAGGCACATGATAAGTAGTAGTAGTAAGAAGTAAATTACGAAATATATATAAAGAATATTTAGGTGGTAAGTTTGTGTGATTCAACTAAGTTAACCATTTATTTATTACATTATTAAAGTTTTACAATCGGCGTTTCAATAATTAATTCCAAATTAAGAAATATCCTTAATTTAGCATATAACAATTAAATACATAATTAATTAAAAAAATATTAGTTTGGGAGCTGAATAAATAAATATGGGTATATTTCAATTAATCTGTACATGTATTATGTGTTTCGAAAGTTTTGTCTCTTATTTATATATTAAAGCTTGTATATCTAGTATACGATAGTCCACTAATGTATCGATGTTTATTTATTTATTTATTAAATTATGAATAATGACACATAAAACTGAGTTAGAATGCACTCTATTAACGAATATAATATGACATCTGTTAATTTATTTAATCTATATATTATCTCTATGCATTTTCTACCGCATATATCACGGGGAGTGTTCTGAGGAATTGTTCGGAATAATACCAGCTGCTGAGATTCACTACCGTACCACCCACCAGAGCCTAAAATACCATCCTGATCATCTGGATGAATGGCGGTCCTGCACAGTGCGGTTTTTAGATACTTTTTGTCACGCACATCCACATTGTGGAATCACCTTCCAGTATTGGTATTTCCAAACCGATACGATATTGAAACCTTTAAGAAAAGAGCTTAATCCTTTTTAAAAGGCCTACAATGTACTTGCAATTCCCCTGGCGTTGCGGGTGCTCATGGGTAGCGGTAATCACTTACCATCAGGTGAGCCGCATGCTCGTTTGTCCCCTGTGTTATAGAAAAATAAAATATGTTCGTAGGTTTCAAAAGTTATTAATTCTGGTCTGCTCTACTTTCTTATGTACAATACTACTCTTTTATTCTGGTTCCATAAAATGGTAATGAGCATGTTTCGCTACCAGGTCGTAACACATGCGGCCAGCTAGGTTTCGGTGACACTACAACCCGGGATGTACCTGAGGTAGTACCTACTCTACAGGGAATGAACATCATACACGCCGCAGTCGGACGAAACCACTCACTCTTTGTCACAGGTAGGTTAATAGAATACCAACCAGGTGACCAGACGGATATTGTCCCAATTTTAGTGAATTCCTGATTTGAAAGGACAAATTAAATATAGTCAAATCAGCGTTTGTCGTTTCATAAGCTTGAGCCTTAAATTATGAATTATGAATGAATTATGTTAGGTACTTCCCAAGTTCCGGCGTGAGTTATTGAGTTTGGGATAACTACTATAATATGTATATATCGCTACTAGCTGTGACCGCGGTTACTCCCGCGGTTATTCTAATGCATAAGCTATATTACTGGAAAGTATCATCAAAATCCGTTCCATAGTTTTTGCTTGAAAGAGTAACATACATTCATACTTACAAAATTTCGCATTTATAATATTACTAGCTGTTCCCGCGACTCTGTCCACATGGAAATAATTTTATTTTTCTATAATAAAGGAATATTTCTAAAATAAAATTAGCCTAAGTTACTCCTTATTACATCAGCTACCTGCCAAAAAAAATCCCGTCAAAATCGGTCCAGCCATTTCAGAGATTAGCCGGAACAAACAGACCAACAGACAGACATACAAAAATTATAAAAAAAAATATTTTGGTGTATGTACTGTATTTATATTCATATGCATGTAGTAAAAAACGGTTATTTCAATATTAAAACCAGACACTCCAATTTTATTTATATGTATAGATTAACATTAAGTTTAGATTGGGACAAAGCTTGACTGCTACAGATGTTAAGGCAGTCTCATAATATATGGTTATATACCATAATAATACTAAATATAAAACTGAATTTGTATCACTCCAGGTTTGTAATTAGTGGGTGCTTATATATGCATGCATGCATAAACAACTCAGTTATATTTTGCATATGTCTGTACGTATACGTATTTATGTAACAGATACTGGTACTGTGTACGCTTGCGGCGATAACAAGAGTGGACAATGTGGCGTCGGTAATAATACTCCGCAGATATTGAAACCCACGCGCATAAAATACAGGTGATTATAATATAACATAACGGTATCTTGTTGTTATTTCGTATTTCTTGTTCCTATCACAATGGGGCTTTGGAGGTCTTAGATCGATTGAAGCTCGCTCCAAACACAATAATTATAACATATAATTTTTGTAAATTAAATAGTATAAGATATTATCACTTAATACGAGATGTCTGGTATTTTTCATGTATATACTATGATTACCACTAGTAGATGAATACCAACTCTCAGTTTACCGTCTATTTATTTGCAATTCTTTTTATAAAAAGTACTGTTTTCCATACAGATTTTCTTAACATGTTTGACCATAATATAAAAATGTAACCATATAAAAATGTTCTTAAACTCGATTGCGATGTGGCGAATTAGATTAGAAATCTTAATGTTCGTTATTTTATTGTTTCGCTTACGCCCATGAGGAATAAATGTGGTGCTATATAACAAATATTATTTTTCAGTGGTGCTCCAGTAGTGAAAGTTGGCTGTGGGGCGGAATTCTCCATGATTTTGGATTGTAACGGCGCTCTTCACTCTTTTGGGTTGCCTGAGTATGGGCAACTAGGTATTGCATAAAACTATTCTGACTATACATAAATTTTACACTAGTTGTACTCGCTACTTCGGCCGAGTGGAATTAAACTTTATTTTTCTATAATAAAGTTGCCTAAGTTACTTCTTATTACATCAGCTACTAACTGTATAAATTTGAAAATGTCATTTTTTCGGACTATTCTAATGCTGTTGGCTGCAGCTTTACAGCTTCACGACGGGGGCGAGTGCAGATGGCACTCCAAACCCGCGGAAGGACTTGGAGCGGCTGAAGGCCAACTCCCACCTGATGGATACGACTTTAGTTTGAGGGCACCGCTAGGTATACGAACCTCGGTTCAGGCCGTCGTAATTTCGATCCCCCTATGAATTGGACGAGGGATCAATCGGAGGGGTTTTTGTTTTGCGAAAATAATTATAGTTATTTTCAATTGACTTTCAAAAAAGAGAAAGTTGATACATTAAATATTTGTGGCCCCAACATGGTAATGGTGGCGGAATTATGCAAAATAATACAAATCAAGTAATGAAATGGACTGTGAATGTTCTGTAAAAGAACGCATAATGCGTATAAAAAGGTTTAAATGAAAATTAATGCAATTTTTATGTTTTTAAGGTCATAATACTGATGGCAAATATTTCGTTACGTCTACGAAACTGTCGTTTCACTTCGAAACAGTACCGAAACATATTGCACTATTCTTCGAAAAGTCGAAAGACGGCCACGTGAGCCCGGTCAAGGATGTCGATATTGTCGACTTCTCCTGTGGTAATAACCATACGGTTAGTAACAATTATTTCATTTTACTCGCCATACAGCTTCGTAGGCTACGTTTCGGTTGAATGGTGTAATTAAAGCAGTGAAATTACCAATTTGGACGCATCACATCTTAGTCTTTCGAAATGGCAACGCATGAGTGGCGTCACATGATAATGTAATGTCAATTGTGCTATTTATGTAGGTAACGGTAACCACATGCCGCTGGCTGGATCGTCATGATTGTTTGCCATTACTTAAGGGGTTGTGCTTAGTTTTAAGTGTAAAACAACGTGCTATTTCTAATTTTATTCATGAACTGGCATTTTATTATAATAATCTATTTGAATAATTTTGGGTACTATAATCTTCTGCAATTCATTTCTGAAAACCCGTATGACTTAATTTCGGGTTGGATGAATACAGACATTGAACCAAGAATTAGTCAAAATATTGATTTATGGCAAAATGGCGATTTCTCAAAACAATCATTGTATTTTTTTCAATATAATTTAGTATTGTTATACCTACATTAATTACCTAAGTAAAGCCTGTAAAAATATTGTAATATTTTAAGACAATCGGTCTAGTCGGTTCGTCACTGACTCTGAAATCGCCGTTTCGAGATAAACGCGTTCAAAGTCCCAATGGATATTTACTCATTTATTTTGTCTTTCTAAACGATTCATCTATTTATAGGACCATAAGATAAACCCCGTGCGTCATTATTTGCTTCCAATATTGTTAATTGGTGTTATCTACGGGATTTCTTCCCTCGCACTCGAGCTCCAGTCTCTGTTTTCCGTTTCCATTTTTCTTGTTTTTAAACTTACATAACTTTCGATGAACCTTATTCTATATATGCCCTCATTTCTCCGAAACTATTAGTCGGATTAACTTGAAATTTTCAGAGAATACACTTAAATATAAATTAGAAAAATACCATAAATAAAAATATAGAAAATTTGCGAAATCTAACTAGGCTTCCCATGTAAACAATGATACAAATCAGTTAAATGTTATTATGAATTAGTTTTCCAGCTCCCAAGTGATTTCAGAATTGCTGATACGTTTCTCTTATAATTCAAAACAACAAGTCAAAAATAAAGTCCTATTAATGAAATCTTTAAGATGACTTCAACTGACCGATTTATTAATATAGGCTTTTCGTCCTTTATTATTCTTGTACTACAACAGTAAAATCGTGTTGTTCCTTACAGCGTTTTAAGGAACATGTATAAAAGCGTCCAATATATATTTATAGGTGGCGATAGACTCTAAAAAGCGAGCCTACAGTTGGGGCTTTGGCGGATTCGGTCGGTTGGGGCACGCTGAGCCAAGAGACGAAAGTGTTCCACGACTCATCAAATATTTTGAAACGCAGTCGCGTGGCGTCCGCTCTGTGCATTGTGGTGCAACTTACAGTCTTGCTGTCAATGAGAATGGTGAGTGAATAAATCTACATATTGCAATGAACTACCTGCCAAGGTTGTCTCTGGAGACATTTATAACATACTAATGTTAAAACTATGTTACATTTCACTAAAGATAATTCATTTCATTTTGTTCGTCAGTAACTTTGTGATGTTTTTAATGCAATGAAATCAAAATAGTTAAAAAATAATTCTTCCTTCCGATTGCTACTGGAGGCAAGATGTATTAATTTATTGAGTAATTGATATGTTCTTCTTGTATTTGAACACAGGTGCTTTGTTCATGTTTGGCCAGACAAAGAGGACCGGGGAGGCGAATATGTACCCCAAACCAGTGCAGGACCTTTCTGGTATGTTCCATTTATTTTATAATGCCTGAAAGTCAAATGTGCATCAAAGTAATTTAATCATTCTGTATTTGTCAATGCATTTCAATAAACTGCTGAATACGTAATATGTATATGTTAGATAAATGAGCAAAGCAAGATACTGAAATCCATGCCTGTAGTACTATTCTAATTATTTTTTCGTGTTTAGTACTAAACACGAAAAAACGGGTTTGTCCACTTTTCTTATTTGTCTGATTCATTCTACTATTATATAAAGGTGTTTCAATTACATCCATACATACTAGTATTGCTTATTTAAAAATAATAATAATCTCAGGACGCGCGTCATGTCGGCGCTGTGTGAATTGTAAGTGTGAATGACCCAAGTTAAGCTAGCTAAAGCTTGTGTTATGTGTACTAGATAACTGATACAAGTACATAGATATTTTTTTTTAGTAAATACATGCATATTATACATAGATAATATCCAGACCGATACAAACAATTATACTCACGAATACAAATTGTTGTGACCGTGACGCGACATGGTCGCGGAAGTAAGGCGGTGTGCTAAACCGCTAGACTACCGAGGACGTCACGTATCTGAGGTCCTTTTTACGCGAACGGCTGAACGGATCTTGATGCAAATTTATTTATTGTATTACAAGAAAAACTTAGGCTATATTTTATTTCAGAAACAGAGTAATACTTCGGTTGCACCTTGTAGTTTTCCATGATGTCTAGTTTGTGTTATTTGTTTAAGAGAATTGAAAGGGATTGGTATAACTTTTTCAGGTTGGAATATTCGCAGTGTTGGCACAAGCAACACGTCCGTTGTACTAGAAGCGGACGACTCTCTAATAGCTTGGGGCGTTTCGCCGACATATGGGGAATTGGTTAGTATACATCTATTTTCGACCTCTTTGTTTTAGAGGTTCAGTAGACGATCTAGTTTTAAAATCAAACGATTGGATTCCATCCCAATATGAATGTTTCCATTCATGGTTGTATATTATATTTGTATTCTTATAGGGTTTTTTCTATGTTTATTATCTATACCAATAAATAGAACTAAACTGTTTGTAAATTCAAATTAACAAGTTTTCATCAAATGCATGTGAAAGTATATACGGTTTCGGGGAAAGTTGTATGTTACCATAGTACTTTCTTATCATTGCGGCTTATTTTACCCTTTCTGGCTAATCATGTATATCTTATGTAAATTAACGAAAGTAGTTCCTTGGGTTCTTCCTTTTAATTTAATAATTTATTTGTTATTTTGTATGTAGGGTACAGGTGAGATCGCTAAGTCTACTGCGCGACCCAAAGAAGTATCACGAATGGACGGCATGAAAATAACCCAGGTTACCATGGGTTTCTCTCACACACTATTGCTGGCCGACGATTCTAGCGATGAGGTAAAAGAGAAGCTCGCTAATATGCCAACATTTTCGCCTTAAGTTGACTCAATCTCTTTAACTTAAATTTGGTTAGACTGGGATCAGTCAACCAATAAATAATTTGTAACCAATACAGTCAGCTCGACTATTTGTTCTCAAGTCGACTGCTGAACGCTCATTTTAAGACTGTTTCTTCTACAGCATGTGAAGAAATTTTTTATACATTGTTAATGTCTGTTTATTTGAGAACATACGCCTTTGCATTGCATGACTTTTCTCTTATTTACATCGTTTATATTTTTTATAATCACTCTTTTTTGCTAAGACACTAATAAAATTTTTCTATTAGATAAATGAACTTTATTATGTCTTTTAAATATACAATTCTTGTATATTTGAAGGTTTGTTATCATATATATATATATATATAAACATTATTTCTAATGTAACAACTTAGCAAATCACTCGGGACTAGTATTAAGCATATAAAGGTTGCGGTGCAGAGATGCCTTTTTTGACTGAGATACCCGTTGTACACATTTCACTTCTTGTTATAATAATAATATAAATAATGTAATATTCAAAGTATTCGTATCAATTATTACTTGAAAAGTACTCAAATTGTATATATATATATATATATATATGCAAAAAGTATTTATATTTTCTATTTAAATACATTTTGTAAACTATTTTGCACACCTCTACCGATATACATATATTTAATTTAAATACATCTAATGCCTTAGTGGTCAGGTCTGATTTGCACCCTGGCCCTGAATATGCTTAAGCATTTGCATACACTCTCATTATGATGAGTGTTTGTCATGGCTAGGATTTCCTATAGTTGCGTGGTACTATTATGGTTTGTAGCCACGAATACAAGAATGTCCTGACTTGCCGAACAACTTGCGCCCACATGATATTATAAGTATTTAAATATTTTAAAATAAATATATAATTGTGTGTTATATTTAAAAGTCGATGTATAGAGGGCGTAGGCAGCGGTTAAGCGACCACGCGCTCTGTGGCCCACCTCCGTTTGATGTTTAGTATACGAATTTAGAGTAACATTTTTACATAGATTCTACTTGTACCTTTTAATTGTTTTGGAATTGTAAGGTCGATTTCTCAACGACAAAATGTAACAAAAAAAAACAAAATAGACTGTATGATTATTCGATTGTTACATTTGAATGTTGTGACCCACCTTAAGATTTTTATGTTAAGTATAAGGAATATTATGTACTTAACGTTAAAGATTTTATGTAAGTTTAGATAAGGTTAATTTTCTGTAGATCGATTACATTCCTGTACCGATATTTTAGATGAGACTGATTTTTTATTATAAAACCGCCATATTCACAGACCCGATCTAGAGTTGCTATACCATATCAAAATTCATGCATTCTGTAGATATTCCTTGTGTACCACAGCGACTATTTTCAATACTGTTAATAGAAAAACAAATGAGAATATTTTGCTAACTTGTAATATATATCCTGTCCCTGATTTGTTATGAAACCGAATGACACGGATCGCGGTATCACACGGATTCCACTTCGGGTTTGTGTGCTGGCGCCTAATTAAATATGTTACACAGACAATATACGTGATATCCCTTTGAGCTCCTGTTGTCTCCTCAATACCAGTTGCCGTATAAATGTACATACGTCTCTAGTGTTATATTCTCAGAGGGTAAAATCTCAATAAAAGAGATGTTGTTTTGAAATCTTAATCAGGTATAAATATTTTGTCATAATATTATGTACAATTGGCTTCATATACATATGTATTTGGTGATTGGCTAGTCAATAATATTTTACTAACTAATATTCATAACGTTTAGTAATGTTTAAAGTCAACTAAAACTAAAACTAAAACTAAAGTTAACTAACAACCTTCAAAGTTAGCGATTTCAAGGTTTTTTTTTATATTTGTTTAACGCTAAAATTAAAATGTAATGCTTATACTATAGTGAATAGTTATATATTATTGACTACTTCGGACCATTACAAAATTGCACTTTTTCTGATATTGATTAACATCTTTATGAAGCCAACTTACCAACGATTTTGTTTTCTTTGTGGTTTAATAAATAAACCTATTCTTTTCACTTACTTAGTTGTTTTTTTTTGCAATGACCTCTAATCAATATAGTTGCAGTTTTAAGTTCTTTTTAGAATTGTAAGCGTGATTATATTTATATTACCGTTTAAAATATCCCAAGTATTATGCAAGTTTATAGATCTTTACTTTGTATCAGGCAAATTCTGTTTAGTTACATTACATAAACTTAAATTTAAGTTATGAGATTAGATTGATTTGGATATTTAAACAACTTTATTACTAAAAAAAAACAAAACTTAGTATTATTGTAGAATTCTTAATTGGAATATCGATTTTCTGATATTGGCCGAAATAGATATGAAGAAAATTAACTTTTGTCCCCCTAATTGAAACTTCAGTATTTATAGGCTAGGAAATAATTGAAACAACTGTCCAATCAGTTACTTCACACGGTGAGTGCTTGTTATAGTAGATACCTAACAAATATTACGACACATCCTCACCGGCGATCGGATCGGACCACCAAGCATGACGCAAGAAGGTGCGCTACTGAGAAAACTACCTGCGTCGAATCAGCATTTTAATTCACACAGCAATAATACTCATTTCCCTGATTTTTGATTTTATATAATTTCACTTATGGATCACACATCGATCCGAAGACACCTATATAATTGCAACAATTAATTTTAGAATTAAATTTAGTTAATTATAAAAATTGTTTTTTTTTTGGGTCTTCCAGCAGCGACTTCAATAACTTGCTAGTAAACAGTTACTGCGATGTTTACAAATAGTAATTTAGAAAGAAAACAAATTATTGTTATTCAATGACATTGACATGAAGATCGAAAATATTTATATTTCTTTTATTAAACAGGGCGGTGTGGGCGGCAGTGTCACTCATACCATGTTACGGAGCGCGTAGTGTTAATTATACACTATGTTGCACTTAGTAGAGCAGACGTGTAGATTAGATTAGATTTAGCATTTAATAACAGCAAAAAATTCTGTTACAGAACTTGATTTTGAATAATAAAATACATTATTAATAGATTACAGAAAACGGTACTACAGAATAATAGGATTGTTTGTAATTATGCACAATCTGAATGAAGTGGGCGAGGTAGTGTTTAGCTGGACCACATCGAAGCAATGCACTCCATTATGTTGTTTAAATCCCGATCCCTTTCCGCTTATATACAACTTTAATCCTTTGACGGGCACTTGTAAGTTGGTTATATTTCTTGGTGCTGTTGAATTTACTACATGGGCAGTCGCGCCTGAAGAGTGCATCTCACAGGGACATTTACAAGCACAATCAATATCAATTATACCTTGCTTCTTAACATTGGCTTCTATAGGATGCTCGGAATGACGTTGGTGAGCTTCTAAATTCATCGGAGGGTCAGGTTGTCACCGTTTAAAATTAAATTTGAAGCTGGACGTTGTCTGTGTTAAGTGCGACGTCATTATTATTCTTTTTTTTATATCAACTATGTCTACAAGGGATGGGTACGCGAACTCTTTAAAAGGCAACTGTTGTGGTACGTTCTGAGTCTGAGTTTGATGTCGAGGACAATCGCGGTTTACTTTTTTATATCCTCATTTTTGCAAATTTCGGAAATAGTTATCTTTTGTATATTTACTGGATTTTTCAGTTTTGCTAGTACCAGTGTCTTCTAAAGACGCATGCGGCTCGTATTTTTCGCATGGCCATACAGGAGTCAGCTTCACTTTTCTCTCCACAGTATTACATTCACTTGTTCTACCATTTACTGTTTTGGAATGCCCAAAATTTGTTGCTAGATTATCTGTATTATTTTCTATAATTAATATATTTTACACTAAATCATAAAATACGAATATAATACATACATATATTAAAGTAACTAACTACTATTATAGATTGATTGAATAGACATTTGTTTTCACGCCTCAAGACGAATCGACATGAAATTATGCATCAAATGCGTAATATTTAGGATGGATGAAGCATACACCCAAACAATTACTTTATCGCGATTATTTGTGTTTCTTTAGGTATGTGTGGATGTAACAGTAGGTAATTTACGTTCTATAAATTTAGTTAAAGTAACACAACCGACTGTTATTGTTTTTTTTTATTTCTGATTATTCCTATTGAAAAAAAAACAATACAGTCACACGTTTGGTCGTATATACGTTGTGTAGAAAGAAGTATCCTATTTGTTTGGTGCCAGCTGTATATTTCGTGGAAGTTCGTTTAATGGAATACTAGTCGTATGTGAATCGATTAAGCTATTTATGTAGATTGCTTATTATTATAATAATAAAAACAGATTTAAGCCTAAAACCGTAAATAAATTAGCTTGTTTTTTAATATAATTTTAATGGCAATCTACTTTTTGGCGCCATTCCTACACGTTGTAATTCCAGAGGACGAAAGTTTGCAAATTGGTAAATCCATAAGTCTGAATTTTTACCTAAAAACTACATTGAAGAACATACCTTGTATAATTGGAGGTGTAATTAATTTTGAAGCCTTACGAGCTTCGTCCAACATCATGAGCAATTTTGCAAGCGCTTGGTTCTTTAGGCAGACAACAACATGGTCTATCCTCGGTCGTGTCTACATTAACTATTCGTTGGAGTCGTGCTTGTTTTGTCAAATTGACTTCAACTGTTCGATATTTTTGTTCGTTAAGCTGTTGTTTGTACTCTGCCTTATCTTTTCGAATATATCTATTATTATGGTAGCGTTGCATGATTTCCTGATTATCTTTTTCTGGATTATTTCGCGCAATAACATATTCACTCTCTGTTATATTCAATTCCTTTGTGGGCAATTCATTTGACTTTGAGTCTGAAATATTTATTCCATTACAAAGTAACTTACAATATTGTACGAATACAGTATTACATTAAGTAATACCGCCATAAAAATCAGTATACCAATATATAATACCTGTAACATATCTATTATTGTAATATAGTGATTTAGTTAAAAGTGGAAATATAAATACGTAGGTATATATATACCTATATTGAGCAATTTGAAAAACCAACAGCTTAAATATAATAACAATCATCCCTCTTATTTTACCCGCAAGAGTCTAGCTGCACTTGTAGTTATCAGAGAAAAATATGGACTAATTAAATTGAAAAGCATAGGTCTTAAAAGCAATGGATTTTTATTTTGATCACTAAAGTAATACACCGAAGTAGGTTTAAGCTGTATAAAATGCTTCATTTTCATATTAGCTAGACCGAACGAGGAGTTGAATGAAACTGAATTATTGTACATGTTTATTTCGTTAATTGAACATTCTGAATCATATTCTCAGATTTAGGTGCAGTAGGTCGGTTTTTAGGTACTTAACAAGATTTTTTACTGTGATGAATTCACCAGGAATTAAAGAGGATAATTTCCACGTAGAGGTCGACTCTATAAGGTACGTTGTAATTAATAATCCCTATTACTAACAATGTTCTCTTGTATACTTAAGAAACAATGTATTCTTGCAGATTAGATGAGGCAAGATAATTTTGGTTAGTACTACTAATAATTACGCAGGAATAAACCGATAGGCAAATATCAAAATGTTAGGGCGGGACATCTTCTGTAATATACAGAATTTATGCAATTAAATGTTACTTACTGTAATGTTTTGGTTTCTCCCAATTTTGAATTTGATTACAATTGAAGGAAGTGGCCTTGCTTAGTAAGCTATCAGAATCATCATTAGATATAACAATGACAATAGACGATGCATGTGAACACAATTTTTGTAAAAGTACGTCTTCTGCTAAATTCACAATATCTTGATCATTATTTAAATCACACAAATTAACTGTAGGAATTCCTTTTTTATGTAATTTCTCATTGGACAATTGGAATATTAAAATATCATTGTTAAAACTTTCATGTTTATTCATGTTAATACTGTTCTTGGTATATTTTAATAAGAAATTACTATATTCACTGAAAGATAATAAAAAAAACATTTCATCATCTTATACAGAATATTTATAGATATTATTTAAGAGTGAATATACATAATTCCATTAAATTTTATTATAACCTTCCAGTATTTTCGCCAATGTATTCGATGTCATTTATATAATGTTCTGACTCATCCATGCTATCATAGCTGTACGACTCGTCTTCTGAATGTTCTGATAATAGGTAATGACTACCATTAAAAGAAAAATTGCTATCTATAAATGATATCACGCTTATGGTTTTTACATCAGATTTTAAGACAGATTCACTATGTAAATATCCAGTAGTAAATGATAGTGATGATTCAGTGTTAACTATTATTGCAGATTGGAAGCTCCAACAGGATGACTCCGTTGAAGTGTTAGTTCCATACATAGATGTTTGTGAATGTAAAACACTATCTAGATAGTTTACACATGAGGAAGATGTAGACATATCACAACCACTGTTATGATTGTGGACTTCCATATTCCTTTTTTTTTTAATGTAGGGCACTATATAATTATAGAAATAGGAATATAACACGTATCTTAGATCATCATTATTATAATCAGTTTCGGGGAAATTTTCTTCTGCCTTCGTTGTGAACTCACTATTATCTCTTAGCTCATGAGAACGATAAATATTTTCAAATGAATTTTCGATGTTCGAGGAGTCGCCGCTATTACCAAAATTAGTTTTTAAGCTTAAAAATATAGATTTCAAACTATATTTGCTTTTTGTAGTGCTTGTTTCATATCTAAACTGATTTTTAACTAATGGATAAGAAGGAACGCCGACGACTCGACCTACTGTGACTTTAATTCCTTCGTTATCATTGATTACTCCATGCTTGATACTCGAGATACATTTATCAGGACAAGGACATAAAGAAGATAAATCTGGTGAAGTTACTCGGATCTTGACATAACTATGTTTAAATCTAATTTTCTTTTTATCACAACCACAAGAACGATCACATTTGGTTGTTTTAACAATATCTTGAAATTCTTCTCCTGTACCAGTAATTGTTTTGATTTGTTTTGTTACTGAAGTTACCCCAACTTTTTTTGATCTAGTTTTGATTTTACTTCCTTTTTCAGAAAGAGTTATTTCTGGGGCAAGTTTGGTTAGAACTTTGTTAATTAAATCTTTTTCTGAGGCTGTTTTGCCTACTGGTAAGGGTAGTCCAGCTTTAGCTAGTCCTCTAAGAATTTTTTCTTTTTGTTCTAGTGATTTACCTGAAAGTGGGGTTAATAAGCCTTCACCTTTAGCTTTTCGAACAATTTCTTTTTCAGATATAGTTTTTCCTTCAAACGGAATACCAAACTTCTCTGAAAGTGTTTTACTTTCCGGTAATGGTAAACCCGCTTCATTTAAGCCTTTAACTTTTTTCTTTTGTTCTGGCGTGGCGTCCAATGACGTCAATAAACCAGTTACCTTAGGTTGACGTAACTTTCCTGAGAAAATCTTTTGGGTTGATGGTTTCCCATCTATTTTTTCCTTTTGTATTTTAGCAATGAGTGCTTTTTCCGAAGTACTTCTTCCTTCAGGTAGAGGTACACCCGCTTTCGCCAATTTTCTAAGAATAGGAGCAGGAGTTTTGCCTTCTAGTGGCGTAATAATACCTGCCGCTTCTGCTTTCTGCATTTTCCCCCTAATCGATGATGATTTTGGTTCTGGTAGTAGTCCCATTTCCTTACGAATTTTTTTAATCAATTTCTTTTGTGAAAGTGTTTTACCTTCGGGCAAAGGAATTCCTGATTTTGCCAAACCTTTTAAAATATTTTCTTTTTGTGGTACATTTTTTCCTTCTATGGGTGTCAGGAATCCAGCAGCTTTCGCTGCTGGTAATTTTGCTGAAGTTACTTTAGTAATCGAGTGCGTGACGACACGGTCATCTCTAATGTGGCGTATCAAAGATTTTTCTGACGATGTCTTACCTTCTGGTAAATGTAATCCTGCATCTAGTATTCTTTTTAACATTTTTTCTTTTTCAGCACGTCTTTTACCATCTGATGGTGTAATAAGTCCAGCTGCTTGGGCTTTTTGAATTTTTTCTTTCATGGATGGTATCCTTGCTTCTGCTGGTAAACTCAATTCTTGTCGAATTTTTTTTATTAATTCTTTCTCTAATGGAGTTTTTATTTTTGGAAGTGGAATATTAGCTTTTACTAAACTTTTTAAAATCTTTTCTTTTTGTTCAACTGTTTTACCTTCTAATGTGGTTATTAATCCAGCAGCCTTTGCTTTTCGAAGCTTCTCAGAAGGTACAGCTATCGCAGGCCGGACTTTTCTGGTATCTTTAATTTTAGTCATTAATGCTTTTTCTGATGAAGTACGTCCTTCTGGTAAAGAGTTGCCCGTTTCTGCTTGTCTTTTTAAAATATTCTCCTTTTGTGCTTCAGTCTTTCCTTCTAACGAAGTAATTATTCCGTCTTTAATCGCTTTCTTGTATTTTGCTTCATCTGAAACGGTCTTCGGTTCGGGAGGCAAACCAAGCTCTTTCCGAATTTTATCTAATATCTTAATTTCTGAGGGTGTTTTTCCTTTGGGTAACGGTGTACCGTGCATTGCTAAACCTCGCAATATGTTTTCTTTTTGTTCCCGACTTTTTCCCTCTAAAGGTGATAATAAACCTGCAGCCTTCGCTTTTTTTATCTTTTCTGATGGTACAGCAAATACTGTAGGTGTTTTAGCAGTGACCTTAATCTTTGCTATTAACTCTTTTTCTGATGGAGTTCGACCTTCGGGCAATGGTAACCCAATCTTAGTTTGTGCTCTAAGAAGTTTCTCCTTTTGTATGTGTGATTTTCCTTCTAGTGGTGTTATTAATCCAGCCGCCTCAGCTTTTTTATATTTTTCTTTATCGAATGTAGTTTTAGGTTCTTCAGGCAAACCAAGGTCTTTACGTACTTTTAGGACTAACTTTTTTTCAGATGGTGTTTTACCTTCAGGCAATGGAAAATCATGCATTGCTAAGCTTCTAAGAATTTTTTCTTTCCGTTCCGGCGGTTTACCTTCCAAGGGTGTTAATAAACCCGCAGCCTTAGCTTTTCGGATTTTATCAGAAGGTACAGCAAGTGAACTCGATGCATTTTTAGTACCTTTGACATTGACTATTACAGCCTTTTCTGATGATGTACGATCTTCTGGCAAAGGTAAGTTTCCTTCTAAAGGCGTATCGAAATCTGCTGTCTTAGCTTTCTGAGTTTTTTCTAAATGCACAGGTTCAGTAGTAGCTTTAGCTTTCATTACTAATGCCTTTTCTGATGGGGTACGACTTTCGGGTAATGTTAATCCCATTTTTATTTGTCGTCTTAAGATATCCTCTTTTTGTGCTAGAGACTTTCCCTTCAATGGAGTTATCAAATTAGCAACTACCGCGCGTTTATATTTTTCTTTTTCTGCAGGAGTTATCGGTTCCGGTGGTAAACCAAGATCTATTCTAATTTTTTTCATAAGTTGCTTTTCAGATACAGTTTTCGCCTCAGGAAGTGGAGCTCCTGATATAGCTAACTCTTTAAACATTTTTTCTTTGTCAGCTGTTGTTTTTCCTACCATTGCTTCAGCGGCTTCTTTGGTTTTCCTGATAGTTTGTTTTTTCTTTTCTTTGAGATCAGTAGTTTCCATACCAACCGTCAAATGCATAGAAGCCATGCGCCTTTCTTCCCTGGGAAGATGGCCGCAGAGAATGCAATTGCAGTGATCACAATTTTTTTTCTTATAGCAGTCATATAGACTTTTCATTACTTCGAACATTGCATCAGAATTGCACGAACAACAACAACTTTCTTCCTGTGTACTAAGTTGACATCTATATAATTTACATCTAACGCGATTAACTGAGTTATTAAAAGGATTTACATCTTCGGGTAACCGATACTCTGATACTGCATTCACTACATATTTCTTACAATAAGGGTGGAATAATTTGTTTTTCGCTATATCGTAGCCCTTGATAATGGTTTTATTAATTTTAAACATCTCGAGATCTGGTATACTTTTATAATAGTTAACACCTATATATTTAATTATAATATCAGAATCTAACATTGAGTCATTCGTTGAACGATTATATATTTTATACTTTATGCGTCTTTTATGTCGATTATGCTTTTTTTTAAATACTATTATGTTTATATTCTCCACTCCGTTACACGGATTAAGGTTTGAATCGTGATCTATTTTTTGCATATTATATTTCTAATAATAGGCTAAATCACGTAATTCTCTTTTAAAAATACTTTTATTTTCGTAAAACACATTTAGTTTTCCTTGGTCACGTATATTACACTTCATACTTCTATCATCTGTCATATTCTAATGTGCGGTATATTACATCACTGTAACACATATGTTTCACATAATTTTTGGGTTATGTTCTTGTAGTCGGTTTAGAAGACAACAATGTAAGTTTTTTAACTGTAAAATATAAATAATTAGAAATATAAGTTTGCTGACGTAATATGAACAGGTCTAAAAGTTTTCAAATTTCCTATCAATTTTAATTTCATTTATGTTTAAAATTAAAGTTTTGAATTATCAAATATATGTTACGGGTAATATTAGTACTGCATTTTCCACAAATTGCCATTTTACCTGCGATAGTCACTCCGTATAGTCGTACACCAATCTAAAAAAGAAAGTTATTATTGAAAATACCGAGAATAGACAAAATCACAAGTCCATCCAATAAAGTATTACTTTTCCTTAAATCATGTTAACTTATTGTAAGGTTATACGATTATGGTTAATTATTAACAAATTTTGATAGTATGTAGAAATATATATTAACATTTACCGTTCATTGAAACAACGCGTAACGATTTTTATTTAAATACACACATATCATAATTTTCTAAGTTATTTCTTGAATATTACCACATATTTTAATCACTTATTTGACATTGTTTACAATTTTTATATACAACAATGTCATAAACAAATCTTTTGGTTTTTTATATATTACAATGACACAAAACGATTCACGATAGTTAATATTATAGCATTATCTACGAAATAAGTTTTTAAATATTTGTTATGTTAATTAAAAGTTCAGATATCCATACTTTTTTAATTTATAAATAAAAATAAGTAAATTAAGGAAGTATAATGTAAGACATTTCCTTGTTAAATTGATTAATATAATGAAAATGTATTAATATAATGAGGAACAAAATGTAATATTAATTTAAAAATATCTATATACTGGTTATTTTATTTTAAACAGTACTTGCTCTGTCATAATACCAAAATAGGTTAGGTACATCAAAAATATTTCAAAATTAGTTTTTACTTAGAACTAAAATGTAAATACTAGTGCCATAATGCCATGCAAGTGTTTCGGATTCAGATATGAGAAATGCAAATGTGGATACGTGGGAAGTGGTTGTCCAAAAAGGCGAAATGGAACTGGGGCAGTTGTTTTCTTAGCCAAAGACAGTGCAGGCTATATGCATCAACATGTGGTGCCAGCCAAACATTGTATTTTGGCTAGATACTTGGAGAATTTGTATGAGAAATGTGCACGATATAATTTGAGGTAATCTTTTATAGAAGAATAAGTTTTTGTATTAAAGTTTATATTAAAAATTAAAACTGACCACAGAAGTGATGGAAAGATCCTAAACTATCTGGTACTCATGAGTTCTTATTTTCGTAGTTGTCATAAAAATATGTATTATCTGATTTCAGATATTGTCCTTTTCGAAGATACGTCAGCGATAATTACTTTAGGCACACGATATGCGATATTCTAGTGTTACTATGCTTCGTTGTAGCCAACGTTGTGGTTTTTCTAACTATCCTCGCCAGGACCACAATTCACGCAGGTTATGTCGTTGTGAATTCGTTGCAGTGGATACAAAAGTATAACTCCATTTTTATTTATATAAACTAGTAATTTAATACAATATCAACTTTCGTCTAATTTTTTATAGCTGACCTTGCTATCCTCTCGCTATTCTGTTAACTACTAGCTTCAGTTATATAGTTATAAGAACTAATATGAAAAGGAACTCGTACATTACATAGTTATATCTACTAATATATAGAGACTTAAAATACTCTGAAACTGAATTTACAATTTAATTTACTGTAACAATAACAGACAGACAACGTTTGTCACATAATCCAGCTGAGCCGTCAACTGTTAAAATAAAAAACTAATATCGTTAATGTGGGGGGAAAGGGGATTGTTAGCAATATGGACTGATGATATTATTGCTAGAATATATGTCAGGTCAACCTCCACACGGTTCCCCCTGGAGGGAAAAAATACAAGTCAAAAGTAATATGAAAATTAGTATTAAGGCTTTTAGTTGCGAATAAAAACAGAGCTTGAGTTTATACTTAGCATTTTATGAATTCCACTCTTTATATGAGTAAAATAGGCCAGGTACCTTTTTATGGAGGTCGGGTCGGTCGAAGTTAGAAAATGAGAATTAATATTTATGCTTCTATAATTAAATGTAAAAATGTATTACATAAAATATTTGTATAATTAAAAAGACGCTTTCATTGAAGCTTCCTAAACTTCTTAATTTTCATGTCAGTATTTAAAATATATCGAGAGAGACATAATATGTAGACAAAGTTTCATTTTTGTTCCAGTTGGATAAAAATATGTACTATACGATATGTTATCGCTTTAATCATTAATCCCATCCGGGTACTTCAAATCCCTCAATGTTTGAAAACAAAAGTCTTTAACAAATGCATTCTTACTGTGAGTACTTACAGTGCAGAATGGACTAACTAATGGACGCTAACTGCAGGCCTAGTTAATAAATAAAAAGTCGCACAGCGGGCGATGGAGAGAGCTGTGCTCAGAGTTTCTCTAAGGTACATGATTCGAAACGAAGAAATTCGGTGGATAATCGAATAGGTGTCGTCCAATTCGATTATCCGCCGAATTTCTTCGTTTTCGTTAGTTCTTAATGTCAGCTGAATGGCTGTAGGCCGTGCATTACAGCCGAGTCAGCGATGATAGATGGGGAAGAAAAATTAGGGAGTGAAGGTCGCGTATGGGTTGACGGAGTATTAGGCGCAAGATGGACCGACGACATCACGAAGGTGGCCGGGAGTGGACGGATGTGGATGCGGAACGCACATGTTGGAAGTCTTTGGGAAAGGTATATATCCAAGAGTAGATAGATACAGCCTGAAATGATGATGATGAATCGATCCCTTCATATTCCTTTTATTAATAAGGAACACAAATGAATTGTGAAGCATTGACAATAAATCACAGAATAACATTACTTAATTTTAAACTCATTACGTTCTTCCCAGCTCAATAGACAGTTGGAATGGTAATTCTACTGAAGAACATGCTTATTTCTTAGGGATATCCGAAGAATCGACTGTCATTACATCAGTAGGTCTTGTTACATTAGGAAGTGAATAAGGAACATATATATTTTTACTTAAAAGAGTTTTTTAATAAGTACTACGTAGCAACAAATTACGCACCACTTTTCTGCAAAGCGCGTTCTATCGTGTTATTTATAAAAATTAGCAACTCTTATCTTAACTGTAATAAAACCTAAACACATCATCGCGAATAAAGAATAATTCAGACATATGAAATATAAATGTCTCTGTCAAAAGACAAAACTTATAAATTTATCACAACACAATGAACAATCACTACAATTTCAATATTAAAAAGAACAATGATCCACAATGAAAGCAATTGAAATATTATCATATTTATAAACTGTACACAAATGTAAATAAAATCATGTGACAAAACGACTGAAAATATGTATCCAATCAAGACTCGTTTGTTGTTTTCTATGAGGTTACACGGAACAATATTACACAATTTGTCGGAATGAAGTGAGTGAATTTTTTTGTGGTATTAACTGCTCTATGTTGTTGTTGTACATGTTATTATTCCAGCTATTGAAAATACACAGCTGAAAATTATTATAAATTAGGATTAATATATATTACTCATTTTTAAAACAAATTACAGCAAAAGACATAAAACAGAAGCCGAAATTTTTATATAATAATATAGGTAATTATGCCACGAACACAATGATCAGAACCTGTAACCTTTTGAAAATCGTTCGCAAGTCACGACATGCAAACGATTCTTAAAAGCACTCTATTTTCTGTTCGCAAAATTGAAAACTGAAAATTGTTTTCATAGAATCGTATACATTTTTCTTTTGTAATTTATGACCGTGACAATAAAATTGTACTTGACAAACGATATCGTGCCATTTGACGTAAAATTATAAAAGCAAGTGCATACCATCTACTGAATATTAAACTGAATCAGTCTCCTATTAATGTAAATTTCCTACACAAGAACTCGAATGGACTATCACATTATAGTACCAGCAACACGCCCAAGCATTTTGCGTACTTTTAACCGTTTAAGCAGCGCATGCAGTGGAAGTACTCAAACTGAATATTTTTTGGCCGTAGAGTGATGTTATATATATGTTATATAGCCTATACTTTAGGGATAATATACCTTTCTAACAGTGAAAGAATTTTTTAAATTCAGATATAAGAACCGAATATTTCTTTTAACAAACAAACATACAAACCTGTATATTATTGTTGTATAAGTTCTATTTTTATTCAACGCCACATTGATCTGAATATCCTTAGGTAACGGACATTCCTCAGTGATATAGCCAGCCTAGATTTTACTTATTTATATCAGCGCATTTATATTTTAGTGTTTTACTTTGAATAAATAATATCCTCGGGAAATCTTGTTTTTTTACATGTTCATGCTATTAGTTGACAATGAATACATTATAGGTTTAGCTATTTATTTATTTATTTATTTATTTATTTATTTGAAACCAACAGCATACACAATATATAAAAACAGAAAGTACAAAACAATAGTATAGCTAATAATAGGTTTCACAATATCAGTAAAAAAATTTAACAAAGTGACGGACTTCACACAAAAGATAACAGGAATACATTCCGATGCTTCAGAAATGACCTAGGCCGCGTAATATGGGAGTTCATAATTCGCAGCATACGTCAGACTGTTCAGGACCGATAGTAATTATTATGTATCCCTGCTACCATTACATACATAACTATATATGATTATAATTTTACATGTTACATTTAAACGTAAAATAAGTATATTTTATACAATCTTAAACAATATATTTCAATACCCAACAAAAATAACACAAAAACAATATTGCACTACAGTCAGAATTATCATACTATAAATCCAATTACTATGATGTCTATTCCTCAGCCATTTATGTTATCTATTTATGATATAATAGGTAATTATTACTGATATAAGAGATCAGTTTAAGATGTGCTCGTAAACTTGCGATTTAAAATTGCATTTTGAACCGAAAAAAAGATCTACATTTTCAAAATTTTTATTGTAATTGCGTAGAATACGCACTATAGGGGCATTACTAGCATAATTGGTGGACCTTGATGGTACATGCATAAGCGGTGTATGACGTGTTCGCTTGGGAGGTGTACAGTATGCAACTCGCGCTACCAATTCAGGGCAATCTAAGTTACCGCGTACTATATCATATAATAGGCACATTTCTGCTACAGCACGTCTTTCTTCAAGAGTAGGAATACGAAACTCCCGACAACACTCAAGATAGGAGTTAACAGGACGTCTAAAACGGTAGGCAAGATGATCAACAAATTTTTTCTGTATACGTTCAAGACGTTCTATATAAATTTCGTATTGTGGTGACCATACCGGGCACGCATAATCCAAAATACTGCGAACATATGTATAGTACAGGTTTTTTAGCGTAGCTATATCGTGAAAAGGCGTAGTTACCCGCAGTACGAATCCCAAGGATTTAAAAGCCTTCGATGTTATTATATCAATATGTTGATCGAGGATCATTTTATAATCGAAATGTACACCAAGATCACGTACCTTATCTTTCCGTTCTATTGACAATGAATTAATACTGTAATTGTGTATTATAGGATTAATTTTCCTACTAAAACTGATACATTCGCATTTCTTGACATTTATTGTGATGTTATTTTTCTTATAGTAATTATTAAGAGAATTCAGGTCACTTTGAAGTTTTAAACAGTCATTGATGTCACGTATTCTAAAAAATATTTTCTTATCATCTGCGTACATTAAATAATTGACGAAATTAAAACAATTATCTATATCGAATAAATAAGCGTTGTAGAACAGTGGGCCAAGATGAGATCCCTGCGGTACACCGGTTGGTACATCAACAAAGTTAGAACGATAACCACCCACAATAACAGCTTGAGACCGATTTCTGAGGTATGAATCAATCCAACGAAGTAAGTCACCATGAATACCAAGTGATTTCAATTTACAAAGAAGTATGCTATGGTCAACGCGATCGAAAGCTTTTTCAATATCAGTGTAGATTACATCAACCTGTCCCCCGTGATCCATGTTTTCCAAAACATAACTTGAAAAACAAACCAAATTAGTAACAGTAGAACGGCCTCTAAGGAAAGCATGTTGCCGATCATTTATACCTTGATGAATAATGGGATATATCGCATTATAAACAAATTTTTCAAATAATTTTGCCATAGTATTGAGTATAGATATTCCCCTATAAAACTCCACTTTAGTTCGTGATCCACCCTTGTGTAGTGGCAATATATGGGCGCGTTTCCAGATATCTGGAAATATACTTTCTTTTAAGGAGCGATTGAAAATAATTGTAATAGGAAGGGCGAGACCTTCAGCGCACCTGGACCAGAACAATGGTGGAATTCCATCACTTCCGGCGCCCTTAAATACATTTAATTTGTCTAGCGATTTTCTTACATCCGACAAAGGTATATTACAGGTCGATATTATATTGTTATTAACTGTATCGACAAAGTTGGAGTTTGATCTGTCAAGAGGTTTACCAAAAACACTACAAAAGAAATTATTAAAGGCTTCGCAAATCTCTTTACCATCCGTAATTTTTTTGTTATCGTATGTCATTACTTTAGGAATGCTGGATGCACCCCGAGCAGAGTTGATATATGACCAAAAAACCTTTTTGTTATCTTTCATATTTGTCTCAATAGACGAAATATAATTTTTGAAACAACAATCTTGTACTCGTTTCTGTCTCTTCCTTAAAAATGAGTACTCGTCGTAATCTAATAGGTTTCCAAATCTTTTCCAACGCGAATGAGCCTTTGCTTTTTCTCTAATAATTTTAATCAATGCTCTGTTGTACCACGGAGGATACTTCCGGTTATTCCCATTTTTATGCAGTGGGACATGCTCATCGATAGCGTCATATATAATTTTATACATAATATCGGTTGATTCATTTATATTTGTTGTATTTAATATAGAATACCAGTCAATTTCTTTAAAATGTTCATTTAATAAAATATAATTGCCTGCCTTATAATTATGTCTAGGTGTTGCCGAATTTTTTATTGGTTGAATATGAAGGTCACTTATTTCTAAATCTAGACATGGATGAGCACGGTCCTCCTTAACAAGTGGTAGTGAGCATCTGATAATAGATACAGGCATATTAGAGAAAACTAAATCTAACGTATTACCGGCGTAGTTTTTTATAGTATTATGTTGACTTACTCCTAAAAGTAATAATTCATTAACCAATCTCAAACCAATATTCTGTACTTCCGTTGTGCTTTGTTTAATATGCAATGGTCCCTCCTTGTCCCAATGTATACAAGATAGGTTGAAGTCACCCATTAAAATATAATTGTGGTTAGTATTAAGATAGTACGAAGTTTTAAAAGAATCTAAGGCACAATTAATCATTGACGGTAATGTGGAAGCATCCGGAGGTGCATATACAACACTAATATGCAAATCATCGGCAGCAGCTATCGCACGCGCGGGAACCGTGATCGTAAGCATTTCGATGGGTGCGGGAGGCTCGTGTGCGCTACGCGTTGCCTCCAGCTCACATCGCGCTAAAATCATCACCCCGCCGCCTGTTGTCTTATTACTGGCTACCAAGTCCCTATCTCTACGAAACACGTCGTACCGATCGTCGCAAAATTCTCGATCCAAAACACCCTCAATCAGCCATGTCTCAGTCAGAATAATTAGATCATAATCATTATTTAAAATACCGTGACGAAGTTGTAAACATTTACTCCTAATGCCGCGAACATTCTGATAATATATGTTTAGATTTTGAGTAGCCATGACGAAAAAATATGAAATTCTGTAATATAATATAACACACCGTATATAAATATTTCGACATTATTAATAATAAGACAATATATAAGCACCTTTAAATAATAATATAAATGTCGATTCGTATAAAATATCATTAGCTGTGTATTTTCGTACAAAAGTGTTAAATTGTATCTCGACAATCTTACAACTAATGTCATTTTACCGATATAATTATCTTGTAAGTCAGATATTATATTCACGAATAAAAAATACATAATAAGAAAAACGAGGTACAAAACTGTTTCTTCTCTAAAAACATGGAATTCAGTCAGTATGGTATTAATGCGGTACATGTAAATAATTTTTAAAACGGTGAGAACCGATAATATTGTATCTAAATAATTCATTACACAAGTATAGTGCAATAGATAAATAAAAATTAATTTGAAGGTAGACTTAGCAAAACGGTTCCACTGATACGCAAGCGAGCCATACACCGCACGTACTAAATGAGTGTGCACATAGAAAATGTATGCAATTATTTGAACATATGTAATCTGAAACAAATAAATGTAAGTAATTTTAAGTAGAATTGGTATTGAGGAACGAACATACAATGAAAGTATCCTAATGATATAACATATTACGTTGTATGAAAACCAGTCTATAGACAATGATCGAAAAATAGTTAAATTACACTTTATAATCAAAATATAAATGACAAACAAACAACTGTATGATTTTACGCAATTACAAGTGTCACCGGAAAGCATATTATTTCGTAGTATTCTCACCGGAGATTCCGGTTGCACACTTATTCCGCGCACGAATAATAACGATGCACTTACAGTATTAGTAATAACCACTTTTGTATTAGTGTACTCATAGATTATAAGAACAGACAGGGCACGAAAGAAGTATGAGAGTAGAAAAATACGTTCAGCACACAGAGAGTTAATTTTATAAATATCGAATGATGCTACATACTTATGAGACGTCCATGAAGCACACTTTAAAGTTTTGTAAAATCTTCTTCGGAGTTTATATGTATAGCTGGAAATGTATCGCTTTTTCTGACATATATTTTGCCATTTTTTACCCATATAAATTGGTACTGCTTAGATTTTGCGATATCTTTGATTTTCTTCAACAAGCCTTTGTTATAGGTTGTTAAATTTTCATAAACAAAGATTGACTTCGCATCACCTGGTAATCCGATATCTTTAGTTGTGGGATGATACTTGCGAACCTTAGAAATGAAATTATCCTTTAGAAGTCTTGATTTCAATTTTAGAATAATCATTCTAGGACGTCCTTGAATTCGGACTTTGGGTGTGATTCTATGAACTTCAAGAATGTCATCCAAGGATATCTGTAGCCCCGCTTTGGTAGCTATTTTCGACATGTAACTACGTAGATCTTCATTGATAGTTTCTGGAATACCAATAACTTCCACGTTTGATTGTCTTTCTCTTTGTTCATTTGCATTTAGATCTCTTTGCAATTTAATATTTTGCCGATTTACTTCTTCCACTGTCTTTTCCATGATTTCAAGTTTTTTGATGTCATTAGTAACCTGAGTTATCTTCAAGTTAAAGTCATCGTATTGATCACTATGATACTGAAAGGAATTCTGTAGAATTTTGACCTCTTGGGCTATCTCAGTCTGTTTAACATTAAGATCCTTAATACTGGATTTCATTTCTTGATATTCTTTACGAACATTATTTATTTCCAGTTTCAGTTCCTTAGTATTTTTCGTTAATTCTTTATTGAAATCTGTTTTCCAGTTCTTTATTGTATCCTGCATGTCCTTTGTAAATAAGCGGAATAATTCTTCCAGATCTTGATCATGTTTTCGCTTACGGGTAATTACATAGGATGTTCCAGTTCCACTTGTCTCCTTCACATTTGTTAGGTCTGATTCCGAATTGTGCAATTTGTTCGGTGAACGAAACATTGTCTCGTCTGTATTGATTTTTTAATCTTTGGTAGTAACCAAGTGCAATTCACAGGTAATGATCGGAATGTTTTTAAATGAAAATAAACTTAATTTGCTTAGGAAGATGGTTGAGTTTACTATGAACAGGTAAAAATAAATTAAGTTAAAATACTTTTCGCAGTGAACACGACCGTCCGCCACGGCAAGCGGTCGAAAGATATTATTTGATAATAATTTGAACCAGGATGAAATGACAGATTATCTTACATTTTTTCTATAATGCTATTCATCAGTACACACTCAGCCATCGTTCTGGGGTTCATAAATGTGTTTAATTATTGTAGAAGTTTTCGACTGAGCGGAAATTGGTCATCAGAATCTGTTTCTGGATTGTGGGCCATTAGTAGATTACATTGCTTTGCGTAAACACAGTTACTGATTCGATTTTCGGTTGGGTTAATTTAGTAAACAACCATTTCTAGATTGAGTTGGATTTATGTGTTTAGATTTAGGTACTTCTCCCATATATTTACAGATTGATTTCTAACAACACAGATCATAGTTCATAATCTAAATAGAGGAGTAGATACCTCCTTATATGTTTGTGTTTCTCCATATGTATGTGCCAATTGTACATTAAAAATAAATTATTATAGTGTTCCTATTTACTATTCTATCAGTTAATTTTAGTACAATATATGTTAATCGTTACTACATTCGATAGTCGACAATTTAGTAAAAGTATTGCAAGCAATTTAGTAAAGTCGTAAAAATAATACAATCTTTGTTAAGTATACTGGTAATAATGTAATTAATGACAATGATAATCATCATTCATCATTTTAGTATAAATTGTCGGCTGTGTATCTATATATACAAGTGTTTGGTCAATCGGGCTTTAGCGAACTATTCTGAGAGTGTTTGTCAAATTAATGGGCGTGAGATCAGAGGGCACACAGAATCCGCGGAAGAACTTAAGGAGCGACTGAAAGTCAAGTCTTACTTTGTCTTGACAGATTCATTCAGTGTGGGGTTACCTCTAGTGATTCCAACTTTGGTTAAGCCATACAGGATCAAACGGAAGCCAACATCTAATAAAATAAAATGCCTTGAATATTAATGATGATGTTAAGTGGTGACAACGCGTGTGTATGGTATAGCTACGTTTTCCTATAATATTGAATGAAATTTGTTTCAATTTTAATAAAATGGTTTAAAAAGTCAAGAAAGACATAGATCAATAAAATAGGCTGTTCTTTATGGCCTGACGAAAATTCACCAATACACATATGTATTCATTGAAAATCTACTATTAAATCACGTTTACAGCTAAAAAAAAAAACGTTTTTGACGTGTGTTGTCCGATTGCGTAAAAGAAGTAGGTATTTGATACCATTTTACTTTTTTTTAATAAATTCTATATTTGTTACAGGATAACATTCTATATGTATTATCAACAAAAGTAATGAGAGATTTAGCATTTATCTACAAGATGCTTAGATAATTACAGTTACTATAAAATTTCAATGACGTTATAATTATCGTACTACGTAATACGTCATTATGACAGATCAGATCAGCGATTGGTCTGAACAATCAGAACAACAAAGATTGGAAACATTTTATGAAAACAAATATATGCTTCAAAGAAATCAAGAAATACATGAACATTTTCGTGATCATCGGGCACGACAAATTTTTATAGATAAACAAAACCTTACGTACAATGAAATTTATAAAATACATATAATTGGAGAGAAACAAAATGGTCACATAAAGCATACTACTTGTAATATTAATTACAATATACCAAATCAGCCAAGCAAAATATTCGGCATGCAAGAACAGAACTTTAAGTTTCAGGGTACACATATAATAAACAGACAATTTTGTGGTACACAGAATGTAAATGTGAATTCACAACAACAAATATACAAAACTCCCTTTATAAACTCCTTTAAACAAACCGATTGGGAAGTATATAGATGTCAATTGAATACCAAAGAAGAAAGTTGTTGTTGCTCGTGTAATTCTGATGCTATGTTTGAAGTTATGAAAAGTCTTTATGATTGCTATAAGAAAAAAAATTGTGATAATTGTAATTGCATTCTTTGTGGCCATCTTCCAAGAGAAGAACGTCGTTTCGGTGAACTTCGAAAATCTGGAGAAGAGTTAACACACATCGGAGTAGAAACTGCTAGTGCTAACGAAAAGAAAAAAGAAAATACAAAAAGAACTAAAAAAGCTGCTGCTGCAACAGTTGGTAAAACATCATCTGAAAAAGAGAAAATATTGACAGATTTAGTCATGACTGGTGCTCCACTTCCTGTACCAAAAACGGCATCTGAGAAGGAATTAATTAAAAATATTGAAACGAAACTTGGTTTACCACCGAAACCTAAGACATTGGTTGAAAGAGAAAAATATAAACAAGCAGAAGCTGCAGGCCTAATTGCTCCACTCGAGGGTAAGAGTACAACGCAAAAAGAAAAACTTCTTAGAAAACAAGCTGAACTAGGAATACCTTTGCCTGAAGGTAGAACAGAGTCAGAAAAGTCATTAATAAAAAAAGTACAAACAACAGTCAAAGAACCCTCAGAGAAACTGCGAAAACAAAAGACTGCAGGTTACTTAACTCCTCTTAAAGGTAAAACACTATCCCAAAAAGAGAAAATTCTTAAGCAACACGCTGAAATGGGCTTGTCTTTGCCAGAGGGTAGAACTCTCTCAGAAAAAGCGCTTATTACTAAATTTAAAGATACTACAAAACCATTACCTTCGGGCATGGTGCCATCTGAGAAACTACGAAAAGCCAAAGCTGCTGGTTTTATAACACCTTTAGAGGGAAAAACATCTGAAGAAAAGGAAAAAATACTTAGAGGTTTAGCAATCAATGGTATACCACTATTAGAAGGAAAAACTGCATCTGAAAAAAAGTTAATAGCTAAAGTCCGTGCTGATATTGGATTACCGCCCGAACCAAAAACTGCCTCAGAAAGAGAAAAATACAATACAGCCATTGCTGCAGGAATAATAACCCCACTAGAACAAAAAACTCTCATAGAAAAAGAAAAAATTCTAAGACGACAGGCTGAAATGAGTTTGCCTTTGCCAGAAGGTCGAACTGCATCTGAAAAGGCGTTAATTTCTAAAGTTAAAGCAACTACAAAAGTACAACCTTCAGCTACTATGTATCCCGAAAAATTACATAGGCATAAGACCACAGACCTTGTTACTCATCTAGAAGGAAAATCGCCAGAACAGAAAGAAAAAATATTAAAAAATTTAGTCATTAAAGGTGTACCATTGCCTGAAGGAAAAACGGTATCGGAGAAAAAAATTATATCCAAAGTTCAAAAAGAACTTGATTTACCGCTAGAACCGAAAGTTTTATTAGAAAAAACAAAATATGATACAGGATTAATTACTCCACGTAAATTTGCAGCGCAAAAAGAGAAAATTCTTAAGCAACAAGCTAAAATGGGCTTGTCTTTACCAGAAGGTAGAACTCTTTCAGAAAAAAGTTTAATTGACAAAGTTAAAGCTACTGTAAAGACAAGTTCAGTAATCGCAATACCGTCAGAAAAGTTCCGTAAAGCAAAAGATGCTGGTTTTATTACACCTATAGATGGTAAAACAGCAGAACAAAAAGAAAAAATATTAAGAGGATTAGCTATTCACGGTATACCATTACCAAAAGGAAAGACGGCATCGGAAAAAAAAATTATTGCTAAAGTGAGAAATAATCTTGGTTTACCTTCAGAACCAAAAACTCTTACCGAAAAAATCAATTACAATAAAGCTATAGCTGCTGGTGTAATTACTCCATTAGAAGGTAAATTAGAATCACAAAAAGAAAGTATATTACGGAAACAGGTAGAAATGGGCATACCGTTACCAGAAGGTCGGAGTTCATCAGAAAAAGCATTAATTTCCAAAATAAAAACAACAACAAAACAGCAACCGTCAGTCATTGTACCTTCTGAAAAACTCCGTAAGGCGAAGGCTGCAGGGTTTATAACACCCCTCGAAGGAAAGCCTGCTGAACGAAAGAAAGAAATAATAAAGGGTTTAGCAATGCACGGTGCACCTTTGCCAAAAGGTAAGACATTATCGGAAAAGAAACTGATTGAAAAAGTGCGTGCAGATATTGGTTTGCCACCCGAACCTAAAAGTAGACCTGAGAAAGAAAAATATAAACAAGCTATAGCTGCTGGTCTCGTAGCTCCACTAGAAGGAAAATCAATGTCACAAAAACGGAAAATATTGAAGGGTCAAGCAGATTTGGGCATATCCCTTCCTAATGGCAGGACACCATCAGAAAAAGCTTTGATCCAAAGCATAATTACTGCAACAGTAACAGAGGAACAACAAAAACAATTACGAGAATTAACTGCTGAGCAATATAAAAAATTAGACGAGAAAACTGCTTTAATCATGAAAGAGAGAAAAGGTCCAAGCGATGAATGTATATGTTCTCTTTTGACACCTGAGTCACAGAAACTTACAAAATTATCAAAAATTCTTAAGGAATCTGGCAGAATTACTACAGTAAAACTTAAAGATGCCAAGGCAGCGGGACTTTTAACACATGCAGAGAGAAAAGCAGCTGTACAAAAAGAAAAAAATCTGAAAAAGCAAGCTGAAAAGGGTATAGCTTTACCAGAGGAAAGGACTTCATCAGATAAGGATTTGATGTCTAAAGTTATAACAACACCTAAGGCGGCAAAACGTGTTGTTGTACCATCAGAAAAATTGCGTAGTGCGAAAGCTGCAGGATTGATAACACCATTAGAAGGTAAAACGTTACAACAAAAGGAATACATACTTAAAGGTTTAGCTACTCGGGGTTTACCACTGCCTGATGGAAAAACTTCATCAGAAAAAAAACTAATTGCTAAAGTTCGAAATGACCTTGGTTTACCCCCACAGCCCAAAACGACAACTGAACTAGAAAAGTATAATAAAGCCATGGCAGTTGGTGTTATAACGCCGCTTAAAGGCAAAACAACTGCAGAGAAAGAGAAAATTCTTAATAAACAAGCAGAAATAGGTTTATCTTTACCCGAAGGCCAAACTCGATCAGAAAAAGCATTAATAGCTAAAATAAAAACTTTATCAAAAACGAAATCACTACCCCTAGTACCCTCTGAAAAACTACGTAAAGCTAGGGCTGCAGGCCTAATTACACCAATTGAAGGAAAAACTTTAGAGCAGAAGGAAAAAATATTAAGAGGGTTAGCAACACAAGGTATACCGCTACCTGAAGGAAAAACGAGGTCGGAGAAGAAATTAATTACTAAAGTACGAAATGACATTGGTTTGCCTCCAGCACCAAAAACACCATCACAAAAAGTTACTTACAGTAAAGCTATGGAAGCTGGGCTAATTACACCACTTGAAGGTAAAACGTCAGCACAGAAAGAGAGAATTCTTAGACAACAGGCAAAAATGGGTTTACTGTTACCAGAAGGTCGTACTGCGTCAGAAAGAGCTTTAGTTGGGAATATTAGAGCACCTTCAGGTATTATGACACCACTCAAAGGAAAAACTGTCGAGCAAAGAGAAGAAATTTTACGAAGCTTAGCAAAACAAGGTATTCCACTACCTGAAGGCAAAACGCGATCGGAAAAAAAATTGATTTCAAAAGTGCGAATTGACGTTGGTTTACTTCCAGGACCTAAAACTGCATCAGAAAAAGTTATACATAAGAACGCCGTAGACGCTGGACTAATTACTTCACTAAAAGGTAAAACATCATCACAAAATGAGAAAATCCTTAAACAACAAGCAGAAATGGGTTTAATATTACCAGAAGGTCGTACTTCTTCGGAAAAAGCTTTAATTTCTAGTATTATACAAACAACTAAAACGGTACCTTCTATTATTATTCCATCAAAAAAACTCCGTAAAGCTAAAGATGCAGGTTTAATTACACCATTGGAGAGAAAGACGCCTGAACAAAAAGAAAAAATACTTAAAGGACTGGCAGTGCAAGGTATTCATTTTCCTGAAGGAAAAAGTTCATCAGAACAAAAGTTAATCGATAAGGTTCGCCGTGATCTTGCACTTCCACCTATGCCTGATACTCTATCTGCAAAAGAAAAATACAAGAGAGCCATGGCTACTGGATTAATAATGCCTCTTGAAGGAAAATCAGCATTACAAAAAGAAAAAATTCTTACAGGACAGGTAGATTTAGGAATACCATTACCAGAAGGGCGTACACCATCTGAAAAAGCGTTAATAGAGAAAGTAAAAGTTACAGTCCGATATCCATCTGCTACATCTCAGAAGATTCGTAAAGCAAAAGCAGCAGGATTAGAAGGTAAAACATTAGAACAAAAGAAACGTATTTTAAAAGATTTAGTAAAAGCTAATGCCCCCCTTCCAGATGGCAAAACAGCCTCAGAAAAAGAACTTATTAGAAAAGTTCGAAATGACATGGGATTACCACCAGAATCAAAATCACAGTTAATAAAAGAAAAAATGTATAAAGCACAAGCAGCTGGTTTAATTACGCCACTTGAAGGTAAATCAGAACCTCAAAAGAAAATAATATTGAAAAATTTAGTACACGCTGGCGTTTCTTTACCCGAAGGAAGAACTACGTCTGAAAAGGCATTGATTAGTCAAGTACGGGCTGAAACTGAGTCAAAGCTACCATATGGGCGTATCCGAGGCCCACCAGCTTTATCTTCCGTTAATGCTGAAAAATTGGACAAGGCAACGGTTAAAGTTATGAAAGAAGGAAAAGGTCCAAGCGATGAATGTATATGTGCCCTTTTCACTCCAGAATCACAAAAAGAAACGGAGAGTTTACGCAAAAAGATCACGTCTCTATTAAAGCCAACTACAACACGACCTTTGACAAAAGCAATACCATCAGAAAAAATACGAAAAGTAAAAGCAGCGGGATTACTAAAATCATTAGAAGGAAAGAGTCCAAAAGAAAAAATAATCAAATATTTAGCGGCAGCTGGTTCCCCAATAACTGAAGGAAAAACTGCATCAGAGAATGCTATTATACAGAAAGTTAAAACAGACTTCAGAACTCCGTCTCAACTTAAAATAGTTTCTGAGAAAGAAATAATCCAAAAAGCTAAGGAAAAAGGTATACTTACACCTTTGACAGGAAAAACAGCCGAAAAAAAAGAAAAAAAAATTAGAGGTTTAGCCGAACCCGGTTTATTAGTAACAGAGGGTATGACTGGTTCCGCACAAGAAATGGTAAAAAACATAAAAATGGAAACAATTTCGGGAAAAAAACGAAAATTAAGGGTGAAATCTAAAAAAAATGGAGTAGCTACAATAACAAAAAGTGCAAAAGGTGTTACAAAATTATCAGGTGGAATGGAAGAAGAATTTGAAGATGTGATTAAGACTACAACATGCGATCGTGGTTGTGGCTGCGATAAGAAGAAAATAAGATTTAAACACAGTTATGTCAAAATAAGGGTTACATCTCCAGATATATCTTCTTTGTGTCCATGTCCTAACGAATGTGTACCGGGTATTAAAAATGGGGTATTTACTGATAATGAAGGGATCAAAGTTACAGTCGGACGAGTCTCTGGAGTACCTTCTTATATGTCAAATAAAATAGAATGCAATTTTAGTGTCTCGAAAAATAGATACAGTTTAAAATCCATTTTTAGAAGTAAATACGGTTATCAATTTGATAAAAATTGCGATTCAATCAGTAATGTAGATAATTTATTTAAAAGCGACAGTCACACTAATAGTTCTTATGATCATATTGAATGTGTGTTCAAATATCCCATATATTCCACAAACAATTCTATAGAAAATAACAAAAATCTTTGTAATGACGTTGAAGAACGTCAACAGTCTTATGGATATGTTTGTGATTCTACTAGTGAACTCAGACAATTAAGTAATACTAATAATGTCCATTACTGTAGCGATCCTCCTTATTTATCTGCCGAGAATAATATTGTTACCTCATGCTCCAGTAAATCTGTCATATCTTCAATAAGTTTACAATCTATAGTAATAATTAAATCTGAAACATCACTACGTTTATCTATTAACTCGTATACAAGTAGAGATATAACAAATATAAGTGTAATATCCTTTGCTGACAGCAATTTTTCTTCAGAGGACAGCCTGTGTTTCTTAGCAAAGCAATTTGAAGAATACAAATATTATTCAAATAAGATGGTCTGTGTTGGCAGAGACAGTAATAGCACAAGGTACAATTAAGTCATCATACTGTAGTTGACAAATTATATATATACTGAAATGGCATATATGTATGACCATATTTATATCATTATACCTCTAGGTCAACTTTGTACGGTTAAAGGGTGAGAACATATAAAGTAGTGAAATTACTTACTGATTACAGAGGCATAGCATCTTAGTCTTTCGGAAAGGCAACGCATAGTATTTTTTACTAAATTATAATTAATGAAAGTATTTTTTATAGCGATGACTCATAAAAATATATTTATAATTAATATATACAAAATAAAGAATGGAATATTAACTACCGTTAATATTTGAAAACCTTCCAATCGCCGAGTCGCATTGTCTCTACAGATTTAATTTGGGAAACGAAGATTGGGTGTTAAGTTAAATTGATTTCATACATTTTTTTTTCAGTGAATGCTCCATTAATAATAATTGTTTTAAATATAATGCAAACTACGATGAGACAATTACTGAAGTAAATAACGAGGAACATTTAACGATACAATTATTCAGAAAAGAACATAATAGAAGCAAATCTGATGCAGTTTCAGTACTTGCAAATAATCTGTATAATAAGCAAAGTATGATGGATGTTGTCAAAGAGTCTCATCCCAAAAAATCACTGTTCCATAACTCATCAGTGTCAATCTTTTTTGTTATATCGTCATCTGATTGCGTTTCTGATTATACTTTAGATAGTGATAGATGGACAATGTGCACTGAAGTAACCAAAAAATCTGCATCATGGAGCGATTTTTCAAGGAATAACCGTAAGTGAATTAAATTTCTATACTAAATATACCTCAGAAGTCTCAGAAGTCGACGTCAAGCCGGAACCGGGTAACAGGCTAAGTCATTACGCATTTTAAAAATTACAGAGATTTATAAACTTAGAGAAAGTATACACCCAGTCTTTTCACTCCTGTTACTATAGATATGTATTTTAATATTTTTATTTTGTACTGATCCTTCTTGAAACGAGGGCGAAAAAAAGTCAAAGTGACATTAATCCGGCTTAGAAGTAAATGTCACTTTTTGCCCAACCAAAATTCAATATTAATGTTTAGCCTAGTTTTAACTAACCATACTACAAAAAAATATAGGTACTAAGAGTATACATCATTATCAAGTCTCAAGCAATTATATCATTAAATGGAATGGTATCCTAGTTCATTTTACAGGCGTTGCAAACTTTCTTCAGAATGTTACTTCTCAGTACTTTATTAAAAAATATTGTTTGTGTTAGATATATTTATTTAACAAAATATTTGTTTAAATCCGTTGATAAAATAATAAAACATTTATATAAAGTTTCTTTTTCGTCAAAATAAGGCATATTATGATGAATTAATATGAAAAAATATTTAATCTATCAATGTAAGAAATAATATTTGTCTATTGTTGTACATATATATATATATATATATGTATATATTCTCATTAGACTTATTTCGTATTTAATAACATTATTAAATATTATAATATAAATATTTAGAATACGAAACGAGAAATCTTACCATGGTTGCACAAGGTTTGAAGATTTCAGCAAAAAGGAAGCAAAATCTATTAAAAAAAATACCGCCTAAAGTAGATGACATTGAAATTATGCGCCACCTTAAAAAATATGCACCTACAGAAAATAAAAAAGAAAAAATAGGTCAAACAGCGCTGCTTAGCACTGATACAACATCTGATAGATCCTGTTGCTGTTCGCCAAGGGATCCACAAAATTCTCGGAACTCTAATGTTAGATTTGCTTGTGGTGTTGACTCAAAACTAATCTTACCCATTATTGCAAGCGAAGATATAACACAAGGTAGACACAATATTAATGTAGATCGATGTAAAGAGAGGTGAAGACTAAATGGAAAACAGACGGGTAGTATAAAAGATGATATGAGTGTACGAGTAGGATAAGTGTGAGTATGTTTCTATTTTCAAACATGTCTAACATAATATATATATTTTTCAGGCTTGACTCGTGAAGCTTTTGCAGAAGAGGATACACATATAAAAATTAAAACGTGCTATCCTCGGCCATTTTGTATAAACAATTCTTCAAATCAAAGAAATCACTCTCCTGTTAAATTGTGCAGCGTATCTCCTTGTTGTGCACAAAATAGTTTTCATCGATCAATTTTAAAAACAATCCATCCTTCTCATGTATATGGACAAACGTGTAACTGCTCTCTTGAGAAAAACAATGAATTGATTGGAAACATAAAAGAAATGAAGACAGTTAGCTGCGGTGACTCAAATCCATGTCCAAATCCACATTTCATTACTACCAACACCATAAGTATAAAATACATTTAATTATTATTTGATTTAAACAATTAAGTAAGTCTAGAACTATAAACAATTTATTATTTTTTGCAGAACCAACGACAGACAAAAATATATGTACCAAATGTGGTTATCCCAAAATAGCTGATGGAAGGAATGTTACATGTCAATGCAGCGATGTGGAAAAAAAAGTAAAACTTAAACCTCTATGTCCATGTGAAATCCACAAACCGCCGCAACTTGTAGAATTTGCAGATGGTGCTGCAACGAAACCCCCTATGAGGGTTAAAAAAGGATGTAAATGCCCTCAAGACGAAAATTTGAAACGAAAACAGAATAAAAACACTATTTGCGAATGTCCTCAGCAAGAAAAGAAATTCTCAGAAGACTTAGAAGACTACAACAAATCCGAATGGATTGATATAAAGAAGATTATTAAAATGCAATCTGATATAACACAAACAACTTCTGGTTTTAAATTTGATGTAGTACCAAGACCACCTCTTGAACCACAAATGACTTTTGAGGAAGCACTGCAGTATTATGCTGAACATCCTACAGAAGATCTTATGGAACAAGCAGAAGAAGAAGACGATTGTTCATGTATAAACAAACCTATGAGTACTTCTACAGCTAAACTTGATATTGACTGTGAATGTCTTTCTGAACCCGAAATTACCAAAACAGGAAAACATAAAGGGTTCAAGCTGCAAATAACTGGTAAGGGTTCCGCGTCTAAAGGTCTCAGCGGTGTTTGTTGTTTCGATATGGTTCAGCACCTTACGGGCCCACTGATTTCTTCATCACGTTCGACGTAAGTACATTGGGACACAAGTAAACGTCTGTAATAGTTTATCCTATGTAACAATCAAGTCCTGTAAATATTATTAAAAGTTATAAAATTATATATACTTTGCCTTTTATTTCATGCAATGTAATTATAAATTGAGGTATTATTTAGGGACATAAAATATTGCAAATATTATACATGCATAGATAATGTAAAATACATGATTATATGAAATTCATATGAAGTCATATAGCAGCACTTTTTATCCTTTGACTGAAATTATCACTGTTAATGTGGCAGTGGCTTTATAATGACCAGAAAAGTATAGCAAAAGAATTACTCGATATAAGATATCTCAAGAAGGTAATTTTTATTTATTTATTTAGGACAACTAATAAATCATACATCCTTGTAATTTATTAATTAATAAATATATATGGCTCAGTCCATGTTAGGCAATTGTAATATGTAGATATAATCAAATTGCACTATTATAATCTTTATATTATTACAAGTTGTACTTAATACGGATTGATGTGGATCCTACATGTATGCCTAAAAGAATTACGCAAATTTTATAAATATTATAATTTCAAACATTAGTCTTCAATTACAACTGCATACTCTACGCTTAGTATAGTTTAGTGCTTAAGTAATAAGGATATTGTCAATGCAATTCTCTTCATTAATACGGTCTTTCATCTCCGCATTGAATATATTAGGAACAAATATTTCTTTAAAATGTACTTATTTACTAAAAATCGTACTAATGTAAGATAATAATGACCCACTATGTTTATTGAAGTTTGAATAAAATACAGTTTGTAATCATATTTTTGTGAAGAGAAAATTATTTAATTATAAAAATAATAATACTCCTGGACAATTAATGCAGGTCTATCTAGTCCCACGATAAGCAAAGCTTGTGTTATATTATTACACAGTTAGGGATACAACCATACTTTTCGTAAATACATATATTACATACATAGAATTGAATTCCACCATTAATAAAATTAGGAAACGATTTGTTTTACCATGTATATAAACACAAACCTATAGCTCTACGTGGCGGGGCGCGGTGGCAAACCATGCCATTTGCAAAGCGCATATGTCGGCAATAGATTTTGTTCACAGCCTTTGCACTTTAATCTTACAGGCAATTAATGGTGTCATTTGCAGAATATAGCTAAGGAAGGAAAAGAGTAATAAAAAAATACTTGTATAATTTATTGCATTAGATCAAAACTGAAACAAAATTTAGTTCTACGTTACATCAGAAATAGTTCTAAAAATATAGCGTGTATAAAAATTAATATTCCTCGCCACCTTCACCTTCCCCTTCCCCAGAGTCCATACCAACCTCTTCATAGTCCTTTTCGAGAGCAGCCAAGTCCTCACGAGCCTCAGAAAACTCCCCCTCCTCCATACCCTCACCTACGTACCAATGGACGAATGCTCGCTTTGCATACATGAGATCAAACTTATGATTTAAGCGGGACCATGCTTCTGCAATCGCTGTTGTATTCGACAACATACATACAGCGCGTTGTACTTTAGCCAAGTCACCACCTGGAACAACAGTCGGTGGCTGATAGTTGATTCCAACTTTAAACCCTGTCGGACACCAGTCCACAAATTGAATGGTCCGTTTAGTTTTGATAGTTCCAATGGCTGCATTCACATCTTTTGGAACAACATCGCCTCGGTACAGCATACAACAAGCCATGTATTTCCCGTGCCTTGGATCACATTTCACCATTTGATTAGCTGGCTCGAAGCAGGCGTTTGTAATCTCCGCTACGGATAACTGTTCATGATATGCTTTTTCAGCAGAAATGACAGGGGCATATGTTACCAACGGGAAATGTATTCGTGGGTATGGAACCAAGTTTGTTTGAAACTCTGTCAAGTCCACATTTAGGGCACCATCGAATCTAAGTGAAGCGGTTATAGAAGATACGATCTGTCCAATCAATCTATTCAGATTCGTGTACGTAGGCCTTTCTATGTCCAAATTTCTTCTACAAATATCATAAATGGCTTCGTTATCTACCATGAAGGCCGCGTCGGAATGTTCTAATGTTGTGTGTGTAGTTAATATAGAATTGTAAGGTTCCACGACTGCTGTAGAAATTTGTGGCGCTGGATATATAGCAAATTCTAGTTTCGACTTTTTTCCGTAATCTACAGAGAGGCGTTCCATGAGCAAAGAAGCGAAACCCGACCCTGTGCCACCACCAAATGAATGAAATATAAGAAAGCCTTGTAACCCTGTACACTGGTCCGCTAGCTTGCGCACTCTATCAAGTACTAGGTCAACGATTTCCTTACCAATGGTATAGTGACCTCTGGCGTAATTATTGGCCGCATCTTCTTTACCAGTTATAAGTTGCTCGGGGTGGAATAGCTGGCGGTATGTGCCTGTGCGGACTTCATCAACTACTGTCGGTTCTAGGTCTATGAATACTGCCCTAGGGACGTGCTTACCGGCGCCAGTCTCGCTAAAAAACGTGTTAAAGGAATCATCACCTCCACCAACCGTTTTGTCTGAAGGCATCTGCCCATCAGGTTGAATACCATGTTCCAAGCAGTACAGTTCCCAACACGCGTTACCAATTTGGACACCAGCTTGCCCGCCATGTATGGATATACATTCACGCATTTTCTATAGTAAAATTATTTATTTAACAATTAAATTATCTGTCACTAGAACAACCGTTGCTCCTAGATGAACTTCAAATGTCAGTATTAACAAATGACTATTAGGAATACTTACAGAAATTTGTAATTTGATTTTCGATTTTGCCTCAAATGTTAATAGGATTCGTTATTAAAGCAAATAGGTTTATTCTAATGAAGTTCAATCCAATTTAAAAATATAGGTATATATGTATGCAAGTGAAGTTTCTTAGTATTGATAATTTTTTCCTTACCATTTAGTTCAAGTCTATAGATACAATTAATTATTTTTTAATTATGGTATTATTAGTATGGTACATAATAATAATAACTGATACTCTATCTCTGCCTACAGTGCTGAAAATAATATAATGTGTTTTGTCAATTAAAATCTAAATTATACTGAGCGACATCGTTAGGGTTTGTTTTCAAATTTGAAATCGCGGAGAACTGAAGATTACGGTCGTGTTATATCCATTTTATATTGGAAGTGAGTGGACGTACGGAATAGTCATTCGCAATTCGAGAGTGAACCTAGAATATCCCAATATAAATTTTATTTGATTACTGCCATCTATTATCATTTGAGTCTACTAATTCTGTATAATTTTATTTATGCCCTTTTGTACCTACTCGACTACAGTGCCATCTTTGACGTCATGCTTTTCAGTGGTGGAAACTGATTACAAGATGGCAGTGCTAGTACAAAAAATACAACCAAGGAATCATAGACTTAACATATTGTCACTAAGGAATCACTACTTATCAACTATTTTTATATTATGTTATTAATCCCGAAGAGTAGGAGTGATTTAGCTAGATATACTGTACAACATATTACGATAAAAATAGTAATATAACATAAATTGGTGGTACTCATTTTACTAGTGACTCCGTCGCTGGCAATGTCATGTTAGATCGACATCATCGTGGTCTCGCCTGGAAACTATCACGGCAATTTATAAAATTGATAATGGCTATACTGGACATACTTCATCCTTCACGGATGCCCCGTCTGTATTACAATATTTGCGTCAATATTCGCGTCGGTTGGAGTACCTTTACAAAGAAGTACAAAAAAATAGTAAATATACATAGTTACTCAGTAACTATATTTATTCCTGTTGGCGGCACATTACATACTTACTAGTTATCATGTGCATCCAATATGGAATGATCAAAAGTGAGATATATAAAAAAGCCTCTAAAGATCACTTAAGCTTGGCACTAATTCGTATTTCATCTAGGTAGTTATGACTTGTAAAGGAATGACTATATGACTTATTGACTTATAAAAGAATGCAGAGAATTTTAGAAATTATTACCAAACATTATTATTTACGTTGCAAGTAATTCTTTTCAGGTCCTGTGATTTTTAACAATAAGAAATAATAGCGAATGTTGTGATAAAACTATTGGTATTTATAAAACCCTTATGCTTTTCTTGTGGAAGGTTACAATAAGTAGTTGAGCCTATTATTTCAATAGATTTACATGTTACTTTATTTGGCCAACGACAAGAACTTTATAGATTTCTGAATTTACGCAATATGAATAAATTTGAAATATGTGACATCATTGCGGACTGTATACATGCAGCATTCACTGCGGATGTTTGATAAAACATGATTGCATCTGTGATTTACTTTTGAATTATTTTTACTATTATCACACATCTAATAATCACAGAAATAATACAAGAAAGTTGCAATTAAAATAAAATAAAACCTTTGTCAGTTCATTTATCTTACATTTTCCCGTATCACTGAAATACGACATCAACTATACCAAACGTGAATCAAAATCTTAATCTGGCAAGTTTTCCCACGCTGAGATTAACTGTGGCCCAGATCCACGGTATTTTCACATAATAAAAGAGACATTCTGTAGAAACAATCGTGTCAAGGATATACTATAATTTATACACACAACAGTTAAGTTGCACAATTTTTACAAAATCACTACTGCTGTCTATACGCTTAGATCTTCTAAACTACGCAACGGATTTCAGAAATAAATGGGGTGATTCTAGAGGGAGAACAACCTAATATAATTATTATACGTATAATAAATGTATTATAGATATGTATGTACGCTCATGCGATACTTTGCTAGTAAATATACTAGATGTAACTTAGTAGGTATATAAAAAATAACTCCTTATGACATAAGGAATTATTTCTTATATACTAACTTATTATGTATAATATGTATAGTTTTTATAAATCAGATGCAACAAAGTTACTACGACGTTATAAGATTTTCTTTTACTCGTTTTAGTTAGGTGCAGGAGCGAAAATAAAAACATAACTACGTGTTACTTGGATACGAACATGTGTGCTTTGTAGCGTGTAATGCATTTGTGCGCTTTGTACATCACAGTAAAAGTATATTTAACGAACAAAAATGTACTTTTGCTCGTTTGCAAAGGCCTTTCCATACTGCAAAATAGAAAAAACGCAACCCCTTGCTTCGTTTTCTTTCATTTAAATGTTCAACATATTATTAAATAAAGAGCTCTGTTAATGATATGGAGTCGTAATCCTGTTGCTGAGGGGGAAACGGGATTGTTTTTAATGTGGATTGATGATCTAATTTCTAGCAATGTACCATGTCAAGTTGACGTCCACGGGGTTCCGCCTGGAAACCATCGTGATAAATTTTTGGTGAATTTGTTACCATGGACTAACTGACCTGACCTCATGCTCAATTTATTATCCTCCACTGGTGTTCCGCCAGCAAAAACCACCATTCCATTATCATCCATAAAAAACCCTATTAGTGAAAATATACCCTCGAAAACTATTGTGGTAAATTCGAAATCATTTTACACTATGAGATAATTCACATTACTGTATTCGTATCCAATCATTTTCCATAGAAGTCGCGGCGTCGTATATCGCTGGCGCTTGCTTCTGCTCGTAACTTCGTCCGTTGAACCTGATAGAACGGCATAAAGAGTAGGCCTAGGTTAGGCCTAGTTGACGAGTTTGTACGACATTTCATATACCAAATATTTCACATCATAAGCATAGGTGTGAAACTATATAAAAATACTGGCTGTTCCCGATTTCCACACAAACTTTCATCCCCTATTTTGTTTTACCAGATTAAAGGTAATTTTTTTACAAACTTAAAAAACAAAGTAATTAAGAACCAAGTTGCAATCTTCTAGCTTTAATAACGAAGATACTTTCAAACAACCATTCATCTTCCCATTCAATCCCTTATAACCTTTTTTTCACATTCAAAAGTAGCTTATATCCATTCTTTCTAAGATTCTAGACTATCTGTGTACCAAATTCCATTTAGATCCGTTCAGTAGATTTGGCGTGAAATCGAGACAGACAAAGTTATTTTCACATTTGTAATTTTAGTAAGGATTTTCATTTATAATAAGTGAGTTGGGATTTTATGCTGTTATGTTAAGCAGTGATGAATGCATAATAAATACCGATAAATTAATTGGTGTCTATCAATTTCGGTTCGATCAAAGGTTCGTTGCGAAAGTGCGCTGTATATTATGCAAGCAATCACGGCAGTGCTAACGATATATACAGTGCAAATGAGTTTTGTGGAAATGTTAATACTCACCAAATTACTATCTACCTATGTAATCATTATACTACTCGATTGCTTTTTGCGATGAATAAACATGACTACATTTCTGTTTTGCAGTAAGAAATAACTATTTGAAATGTTATTTTTGGAATAAATTTCGCAAATAAAAGGAAATACTATGAAATTGAAGATCATATACCTCAGAATTTAATTCTGAGGTCTATGATAACAGGCAGTATGTGCATTCTTAAAAATAATGTAAGTACCGATAAGTTTACTTACGATAATTATAATATTATAATTTCGAAAGTATTCCTAATTTATTACCTAGAACAAATTGGTAAGAAATAAAACTTGACAGTCATGGAACATACTAACTATATACCGCAGTGTGCTCCGTGTGGAATATACTGTATGTTACTCGATAACGTAGCTGTCTGTTTAATATTCAACTATTAGTTCACAAATAATAAATGTTGTCTTAGCAAAGATAACATTTATTAGTTGTGTTGAGTTTTTGTAATGTGAATATATTGTAGCTCTTTTATAATGTGCCGTTGCCTGTAAAGTCCATATTAAAAAAATAAAGTATATGAGTACCGTGAAGAGCTTAGATAAAATTGCAATATATTATAGATGTATATTTATTATATATAACAAATTTAGAGCACGAATTAAGGAATTAATAATAAAGATTATGTAATTTTAAATGTACTAATGAAAAAAAAAATTAATGTAAACAAATAGACGCACAAAATTTAATATTCCCTTTTACTAACATTTAATTCCTTTCATAACATAGAGACTGTGAACATTTTACGCCCCAGCACCCTGGCGAAGAAGGTGGTGGGACAGTGTCTACAGTAATTAATTCTGGCTTACATGTGTGCATGTCGAAGTCAAGCCTATCAGAATCATACGAAATCCTTTATTAAATCTGTCATATTCACCACAATGGCAATACAAACGGGGTAGCCACCCCGTCTGTCTGCATGTGGCTAGCATTTTTTTAATAGAACATGAAATGGAAGTAGAATAAAAATGCAATGCGGTTGAAATGCGAACAAAGCAGAGAATCGGCGGATTAAAGCTGGCACATTTCATACGTAATACAGTGCGAGATGAAATGTAAAACGAACAAGGCATTACGTTGGTTCAGTAGTATAAAAAGAATGTTGAAAATCGACGAAACAGATATACCTACTTATACGGTAGGCAAGTGGTCTGGGTGTTACCAGTTAGATATCCTATTAATATTATTGACGTGAAAGTTTATGATTAGGAATGGATGATATTATTCTTTCACGCTAAAATTACTAAACGGATTTTTATGAATCTTTATAGTAATATAGCTTAGCTTAAAAATGAGAATAACATATGGGCTATAAATTTCACGCAGATGAAACCGCAGGCATAGCCAGTAATAAATAAAATAATATAGATGTATATTATTATACTGTATGATAAATGTTTTTGGTAGTCAGCGTGTATTAGAAATAGCAGACATTCAAAAACATGTTGGG